ATACACTATAACTTTGTCATTTATTAATTAATTAAAAAAAAACAAACATTATTATAAAGGAGAAGCTTGTCTTGAAATGTGAAACTGTGGCCCTTCAACGTTTAAAAATCCTCGTAACGGTGAGGCCTGTGAAGACCCCAGGTCTTTCTGTACTAATGGGCGGAGCTAGGTTGGCTGTACTAACCAAGACTCATAAATAGTGAGAAGCTTTAAACTATGTATAGATGTTATTTCAAACAAATAATACCTTTTATAATCACCCGTTTTAAGTTACTTATTTAAAAAATATAAGCGTAATTAAAATTTATATTTATTTTTAATTTACAGATATCAAACAATTGTTGCAACTTCATCCGAAACCTTTCTTCAATGAAAGTACGGCGATACGTAACACACCAGCACGTTTCGAACTAGAAGTTTCTGCTAGCGCGAGGAATAAATTTCAAACAAATGGCGTTCACGATTATTACAGTAAGTATATTAAATTTTTGTCATTTCAAGTACAGTTTTGATGTTATATATTGTCAAATCTCTACTTATCCTTCGTTTGGTTGGTAATATTATCTAATTTGTATAATTTCAAAGTACGCAATAAAAAATAACAAACAAAAAAAAACAATCGAATTGAAAACCTTATTTTTTTTTAAGTTAGTTGAAAAATACAGAACTGCATCGGAAACATTAATAATAAATGACAATAAATGTGTTCATTGCCATAATTACAAATATGGTACAATAATTATACGGAGTATAACATGATATATTATATATTAAATACATTATGAAGTACCTGTATGCCTAGCAATAGGTACAAACTAGGTTTTTGCTGAATTCATATGTGTTCAGAGGTAATTTTCAATTTGTATCTACACGGGCCACCATTACGCTGGGATATTGAAAAGTATACCAAAATGTACAGAATTATTTCAGTTATCAATTCGTTGCGTAGTTTTTATGTATTCGTCAGAAACGATATTTTATTTAATTCTAAAACCCCTTAAATTAATTTTATTTATTAATTTAACATTTTGTTCCGAAATAATTTTTTTTTATAAGTCATTTTAATTCAATAAAAACAAGTCAACCGCAGTTTCTGCCACTTTTGTCTTATAAATAAGTTGAAAAATCGGTAAAAATGGGGTTCTAAAGGCATTTTGTAAACTTTTTGACACCGATACTTTTCCATCCTATTCCGCTCTCTTTCCCCTTTTCTATAATGCTATATGTGTACCTAATTATTGTTATTATTCTATCTGCTTTACGAGCTTGCTTGTAGCTCATGACATACAAGCTTGTAACGCAGATGCCATTGCAAGCTCTAGTACTAATACTAGATACCTAAAGTTATGTATGAAAACGCAAATAAAGGAAACATAAATAAAGACCTTTTATAGTATAACATCTTAGCCCTAAAATTACCAAATGGTAAGACATAGCACAGGCGTCATATTGTTTTACATGATATTCATTATGAGGTGAACCGCGACCTTCTTTACCATTCTAAGTTGTATAAAAAATATAAACATAACAATACAATACATTTAATCAGCGATTGTATATTGAATGTGCTATTATTGCTTGTAATATGCTCACGGAAGAATTGTTATACGCTATTAGTTCTGCATGAAATAAAAACAGGTATCATATTCATAAAAGATTTTTTTTTGTTTTATTGATTAATATTGATTAATACGGTTTGTAGAACAGTATATGGCAATGAAATTACAAGCTATAGAGACATAACATCTTTGCTCTCAGGAATGGTAACGTGTGAAGGTTATTATGGGTCACACAATATAGTGTACATACCCATGGCACTGTTCATGGTGATGATTACTACTTTCTGTCAAGTGGGCCGTCAGCTTATTTGCCATTGTAAGTTATATAAAAAAAATAGGATCGGCTGAATTAGTTCTATTTACATTGCCTAATAACTGGCCTATTTTAATATAGTATTAAAATATAGTTAAGTTTATTATAGTAACTTGTGTTCTCCATTTGAATAAAAATATTTAACATACTGTATTTTGTATTTTAATTAAAGCCAAGCATGTATTTTGATATTTTGATTTGAGCCCAGCTCTCATGATAAGTAGGTCTAGTACCTACTTTGATTTAATTTTTTTTCAATTTGTGTTTTAACGTAGAGGTTATTACTATCCTGTCATAACTCATAATCTACTGAGTAAAACATTTCATTTTCCCAACGTGCCCATTTTTCCAGATGAAACATAAAGATGCGCTCAATAAATAGGCAATCGAACATTATATGAAATTGTTAACAGTGCTTCACTGTTAACAATTATAATTTAACTTAGTAACTTTGAAGAAGTGAACATGATTTACGTCGTGTGTTATTTTAATATGAAATTTAATTATGTACAGTTAACCGTCATGTAACATGAACCGTCTATATTAATTTATACTTTGATCAATAGCATCTTTAAGAATAAAAAGGATTGTTGTACATTAATACTTTAGTTATCCTGTTTATACCTAGGTAGCCGATAACACATACATTCTTAAAATCAGTCATTTTAATCTCTTTTAAGCAATTTTTTGCATTTTAAATTATTGAATCAGTTTAAAAAAAAAAAAAACTCATTTTTCTAATTATGTAAATTTATGTTACAATATTATACTCTACTTTTTTACAGACTACGCTATATTTGAAAGTAATAAAAAAATAATCAATAAATTATTAAACAAATGACATACTTAATATTTTTTTAAAATAGTTCTTACATGCGGAATAAGTTATGTATTAGGGCCAAATATACGAGGATTGCGATTACGTATGCGCTGCGAGCTTGTATACACGTATATTGAACTGATTGTCATACGATAATAAATAAAGTCTTATTTTAAAAGTAAATGTATCTAGATTTATTCCTTACTTGAATGTTATATCACAGCACCGCATGTTTTTCATAAAATTTAAAGCAAATGTAAAATTTTCTATTTGCAATATTCATGCATTTCGGGCACGTTTTTTCATACTTTATTAATCTTATTAAAATAATCTTTATTTAAATATTGTAGAGAGATTAATAGATATATTTGACAGTTTTCTGTTATCTTCAATAATTTTTTTTTGTGTCAAAATTGAAAAAAAAAAACAATAGTTAGGAGCACACTTAGAAACAAGGGAGGGTGTAAAGGGAGCAGAGAGGATGGCACCGGCCATAATCGTATTCAACTGGTTCAAATTACTCTAAAAATATAGGTGTTAAACAGTTTCACAAAATGCAGTTAGTCGTAAAAGGAGAGCGAATTTGAAATTTTTCCATCAGTTTATTGAGTTGCGGCTAAATTAAATAACTTATATAGATATAGTCATAGTCGTAGAATACTGACGGATCTGACAAAGATTACATATAAAGATCCGTCAGTATTCTACGACTATGACGTTATGGGTATAATAAAAAAAAACTGGTTAATTGTGACTTGAATTCACTGAAGGGTTTGTACATAAAATATGTACAAAACTCTCTGAAAACGTTTTCTTTATATAAAAAATATTTGAATATATTGTATACTCGCTGTTGCTTTTAAAAAATACACCAAAACACTAATAGAAATAAAACCATTTAATCGTAACGTGTTAAAAGATCATAATTACCCTTAATATACAAAAATCAATTGGCACATGAAAATAACTTTGCTGGGATATTTATATTTCCCTGAAAGAAGATCATATTGCAACCTAATTTTTAATGACCCTATTGGCTAAATATAATATTAAAAATTAAACATATGTAGATATATAATATAAAATAACTATTATTTATATTAAACATTCCGTATTTATAAATAAGTTTCTTTCGGAGGTTTTTTTTGATGGGTGAAAATGGTATGGTAACCCCGCCTGCGCTAACGGGATACGCTGGCGGAGCACAAGTGAAGAGTGATAGATGAGAATGAAAACAGGCCAGTTGGCTCGTCGTGATGAATTCATCAGAAATTAACCATGATAGTTTCTACGGGGAACCGCGAGGAGGTCGACCTGGTTGGGTATATTTTATTCATGTTTTCCATCATAAATTAAAAATTATACAGTATAAAGATAAATAAAAATTAGTTTTAAAATGTACAATTGAAGTTCTTTCATATGATAGCTCACTTGTAAGTCCTTTTTGAAATTATGACTACCCCTTTTGAACTTCATAACAAAAAAAAATATTTTTTCAATTATCTCCATTTCTATTCTAAATTACTTCCATTCTAAATGTGTAAGCAACCAGTGTGTAAAACTGTTCCAAATTTTACGTCGATAGCATTAGTAGTTGTTAATTTGTAGTGCTATAATAGACGGACGAATTCTTATTATTATATAATGGTTGCTTTGTACCATTTGGTATGGAACCCTAAAAAGAACGCTTTGCGTTTAACGTCTTAGCGTACGAATAAGCATACTCTCTTCGAATGGCGTCGCCGCTGGAGTATCTTTCGTACGACCTTGCAAATTAAGCATTTATTGTGGATAGAGTACTATAGAGCTACGCGGTATTATTATTGAATCAGTGGGAAGTCACTTCTATAGATTTATCTTTTTAATATATTAGCAGATATAAAATACTAATTTATTATAAATCTGTAATACTCTACTTGGTAAATAATAGAATAAACAAGTTTCAAAAATTTAACAAAGTTGTCATTTATTATTTCTTGTAAAATTATTATCTACATCTTGAGTCCAAATTCATACATCATTTAAAAAAATAAATTATATTTATAAAAAAATCCTATTTATAATGTAATAATAAATGAAAGTAAAAGTACTATCTGCAAATTTTTTTTATTTTTTTAAATTTTATTGAAGTAAAAATAAATATAGGTAAATGTAATAGAAGTATATAGAGTCTTAAATGAAGCTTATAAAAAATATGATTATTTCTATTACTTATTAGATATCTATCATTTCCAAAAACCATAGAGAATCAAATATTGCTGACTCTACTTATCTACGAACCACACTATTACTGCGAAAAAATGTGCAAACCTCTACATGCGTGACGTGAACTAAGACGTAAACGATTGAATGACAGTTTTAGGATATTAAATTACTAATAAAATTGTTAACGAAGCAAAGTATTTTTACATTTTATAATTTTTATTACGATGGAATAATCTTTCAACTTCGACGTAAAAATATAAGTGTTTATAAAATTTTCAGACTATCAGTGACAGTCACGTTTGTTTATTGGTTGAACATCCGCCATTTTGTACTGTCGTTTGTTTAGTGACTGTATCTTTTTACCTAGTGATGCTGTATAATTTCACTAAAAATATATAACGCGATTTTGCAAGTGGTGTACAATGTTTTTGCTAGAAACGTTGATTTCAAGGGGTAAAAATTAAATCGTGTGACTTGTCAATCTGACGTCGGTATATCCATCTACCTATGTGCCGGATGTGTCCTACAATCGGTTAGGCCGATTTTACGTGCCACCTTGAGTGGTGTACGTGTCCCGATACCTATGCTGCCAAGAATATGAGTGGCAACGGGAATCAGGTGCCGTTGGCGCCGAGTCAGCGCGGGCCCGGACCGTATCCTTTTCAATTTTCTGTTTACTCTGTTTTTATCATTATATTTACGTAATATATGCCACTACAGCATCTGGTAGAGCCGCATTTGCGAATAGTAGCGTGTTATTATATCTTTTGATGGTTTGTGATTTAACTTTCTAGTAAGTATAGCAAAAATATACAGTTGCAAGCGATTTTTCTAAGTCATTCAGTATTGCAAAATTGATACTGTAAGCAAAATGTTTATACTGTTTTGCAGAAACACTTGTTCATTAATATTGTATGCATTGTTATCAAATTACAATGATAAAACATTCTTCGTTTGTAATGTGCAACCTTTGCAATATTTTCTGACTTGTAAGCAAGTAGTCAAACTGTAATAGTAGACATTGTCATTATTTATTCATACTCTGTTTTGATGACTGTGTAAAGGTTGTTGCAATGTTTTGTTTTTTAATCAAGTCAGAGTTGATTGTACATGTTTGTACTGAAATATGGCCACCTGACACAGGTATTTACTCAATTATACTTATAAGGTTTTTTATTTGAATTATGTAAAAGATATATTAAATAAAAAGAAAAAAAAATTTATAACTTGAATGAAAATTCCATGTACATAAACTCATGTGTTACCCCATTTTTATATTAATTTAGTTTAATACATTTGTTTGTAATTATATGTAAGTTTTAACCATTAAAAAAACATATTAACATTTGAATTCAACATGATTAGTTGTTATATTTATAAGACACTAGTTTCTTGATTGGAGAGTCAAATATAAAACCTAGAATGTTTCATGATGAAATTATGAATGAACAGCTCAGTTGCAGAGCTATGCGATTGATTATGGTTTATGAAGCTAATTTGCGAATTAATATTGACGACTGGGTGATTATATTTACAGAATATCATATTGTATAGAAAGTTAATAAAGTTAGTGACTAAAGGCAAATATTATCAAATTAAAAATATAATCAATGTAATGAATTATATTATCATCATTTGTGTAATATTAGAAAGAAGTAGGTATAGTAATATGGAATCATATTAGTTTATAATGCTTTGATTTTTTAGAGTTCCTTTGTACAATTTTACATTTAGAGAATGAATTCAGAATAGACCGAGTCGGCCACAATTACTTCTTAACTCGGACATTTTCTTTCTATTAAGTTTTCATTTATATCAGTAAAACTGATGTTTGCATAGGTGTCTTTTGAAATTTCTTTTTCACAAAATTTTCATATATGAAAATCTGGTTGTAAAAATAATGATGAGTCCTTATAACAGTGTATGGGCTCTCCCATAATATAATTCATATTTTTATAGCTTAGTAAATTTTACATGTGTAATTTGTAAACTGACAAAATTCCATACATTTTTTTTGCCTCATTTTACCCTCTTCGTTAGGTTCTTATAAATTCCACATTTTAGGATTCTAGATTATGTATGTTTTCCTGTGCTTTGGTATATGGGTCAGTTTATTAGCATCCTCTTATCCTTACTCATCATCTTCCTATACTTATATCAATTATTATTGTTTGGGGTCAGTGTAATATGTTTTTCTCTTCTAATCTTCTCTATCTTCTTATCCTTGCTAATATTATAAATATGAAACTGTGTTTGTTTGTTACAAGGTACACCTTAGAACACTCAAACGGTTTAACCCTCCTTTGCATGATTTTTTTTTATTGTTGAAAAAATCAAGGTGATAACAAAATTAAAGAAAAATGGTTAAAAAAATAAATTTTACAGCTATGTTTTGTTTTTTGCAATGGACATTAAAAAGGTATCCAGAGTCAATCAATTTAAAATGAACTTGGTCTTTTATATAATTTTTGGGCATTCAATATTATGATGGAAATTTCCACCATTATGCAAAGAAGGGTTAACCAATCACTGTGAAATTTGTTATACACTATATGCAGGGGGAGTCAACCAGTCGATCGCGACTATTAGTCCAGTCGATCGTGGCAAGGCAAAATATATAAATACGTAGGACAGACTGCGCAACGTAATCACCAACTGCTGCACGTATCATCATCTTGTGTCATTTTTCAAACGCCGTTCCGTCACGTTATTTATCCTCTCCTACGCAGCTCTCTTTTGTTTGCGGCATGCGACGAACAAGGTTGTTTCATTTGAGATTTAAAGAAATATATAATTGTTAAATCGCACAGGGTTTCGTCAGTAAATAGTAGACTTTGGGTCTAGTCAAGTTGGCCACCCCTGTTAGAAAGGACGGATAAGGAAAGGATATAGACTACTTTTTTCATTGTCAGTAAACATATTCCAATCACGCGGAAGTAGACACGCAAAGTCGCGGGTGAAAGCTAGTATAATATCGATATAAGCTAGTATAATTTATTAGTATTTATCTAATATCTCTTTTCACTAAAGCTGCCTATAAAAGTTTGAAATACCATATGGGTTTAAAAGATACCCGTTTGACGTAACTCCTCACTTTAAAGGCTCTTCCTTTGATAATAAGTCGAGTCTAGGGGTACTTGGCATTGATATATCCAGCGACGTCTAGTTTTGCGATCATCTGGAGGAAAAGACTAAGATGGTCTCCAAAAAGTTAGGAGTGCTCAATAGAGTGAGACGGTATATCACGCCGGAACATCGCTTGAAATTGTATAAAGTTCAAGTCAGGCCACATATGGAATACTATTCTCACCTATGAGCAGGAGCACCATAGTACCTGCTTCTTCTGTAAGACCGCATTCAAAGTTGGGCGGCTCGAATTATTAATGATCAGCGCCTTACTGTCCGACTAGACGCACTGAAACCGAGTAGAGGTTGCATCTTTTACCGAATTTATCATGGGGAGTGCTCTGAGGAATTGTTCGTATTGATACCTGCTGCTGATTTTCACTACCGTATAACCCGCCACAAATTAAAGTTCCATCACAACCATCTGGATGAGTGGCGGCCCTCCACCGCGCGTTTTTTAAGGCATTTTATTCCACGCACAACCACTCTGGAGTCACCTTCCAGTAGCAATATTTCCGAACCGATACGACTTCATAACCTTTAAAAAAGAGCATATTCCTTTTTAAATGGACGGCAGCTCACTTGCAATACCTGTGGTATTGTGGGTGATCATGGGCGGCGGTGGTCACTTACCATCAGGTGAGTCGCATGCTCGTTTGCCCCCTGAGTTATAAAAAAATATCGGTCATGCATATGTTTCGTGCCCATGTTGCTAGTTATATTTTTGTTTTTAATATTATACTGTACACTGTTTAATACTTTTTGGGCAATTTTACAAACGATAACTACTTTGCAATTGATGTTGTTGTCTGTCAAAAAAAATCGAGTAGAGAAAAAAATGAAAAAGATGGTGCATGCTCTCATTTTTGTTTATGACGATTAAAAGTATGGTTATTTTTAAGCGTTATTAATAAGAATTTCGTTACACATGTTTTGATGTCAACTTTTTGTAGGTTACATTAAGTTGCAACTCAACAACAATAGTTGGGTTGTTATTTAAGTTACTACGAATAAATTAGGGAATTTATTAGTATCTATATTCAATACTGTTAAGTTTTCAATGCAGCTAGTCCAATTGTTTTTACGTGATCTACAGTGTAAAAATAATTTTCTATTGCTTGTCTCCTAAAAGTTTAGCGTAGAGCGATTCTTACGTAATACATTTGCGAAAATCCTCATGAAGTAAAATCGTGTTCACTTCCGATAAACAATAACGTGATATCTATCAAGATCCTTTATGACCACTGCGTAAAACGTTAGTGAAGGTCCCATTAAAATCCATCCACAGGATTTTACGTGATACTCAAACACAGACAATAATTCCAAAAAACGTTTTGGATTTTATATCGACAGTATAATAAATATTACTTAAAAATTGTAATAATATTTAATTTACAAAGTGCGGTTTAAGTTTTATTATAGTATAATTAATTAGAAGAATATAAACGTGGAAGTGAGTTTATTATAAACAAAATTCGAAATACACCTATTTGTATTGGAATGGAGAAAGACCGGCTACTATTGATCCCTGTTAATCAACAAGTCCCAATCTCGTAGATAAAGTCGTGGATAAAAGCTAGTAATATTAATAAATGTGAAATTCTGTTTATTTATTACCTCTTGTCTTTTTAATGATTGAACCAATCGTTTTGTGTACACATAATATTTGCGATGAAGAAGGAACGCTACTTTATATCACGGTCAATCTACATACTGATCACGCAGGCGTAGTCGCAGTAATAAAATAGTAACTATTGGTGATCCCGGCTTCGCATGGGTAAATAGATTGAAAGATAAATTAGTATTTTAAATTGGTACTCGGACCAATAGAAGATAACGATGATATTAGGCAATAGGCACATTTACCGCGACATTTTTAGCCTCACTTTTAACTTTTTATAGCTGTTGTAACTTCTAAACAAAAGTCAGATTCGAATAATTTAAAGTGGAATTTACATGTACAGAGTCAACCTTGATAATAAACTGTTTAGATGAATAAGGACTAATAATATGTAACTAATAATAAATCTTGATGTGATGATCTTTCAATTCTATCCATATTTTGATCAATCTTATTTTTTTTTTATACAACTTAGAATGGCAAACAAGCTGACGGCCCACCTGATGGAAAGTGGTAACTGTCGCCTATAGACATGAGCAGTACTATGGACATAACAGAGTATGCTGTTTCGCTCTTGACACCCCCCCCCCCCCATTCTTGAGGACTCAGACGTTATTCCTCTGTACTCTGTAAATTCACACCATATCCCACCCTTCAAATCCAAACAGAGCCATGCAAACACAACTGCTTTACGGTTGAATCACGAATGGGACAGAGGTACCCAAGCAAACGATTTTTGTACAAAGTCTCCCTCTGGTAATTTATTGAACGAAAAACAGTTTTTTTTAGTTCAGCTTTTATAGTAAAATTTTTTATACTTGGGTTACATTGTAATTTTCGTTGGAATATCTTGCTGATAAAAGTATCAGTTAAGTAGTTTCTGAGTTTATACATTACAAACAAATAAATCTTGCCTCTTTATTATATTAATGCAGATAACGCCAGAATCAACCTTACCTAATGATTTATTATTTCTTGTTGTAAATCATATTATTTTTCAATTTGATTTATAAAGAAAGAATTCTGTCATAAGTATACTATTTTTAAAATAACAAATATCGAATTTGTGTAGCCGTTTGAACATGATACTCTTTCACGTAGTAATTATCCATCCATCCTCGCAAACTTAAGCGTTTATAATCGTATGATAAATAAATAAATAAATTGGTAGGAAGTAGAATGTTATGGAATTAATTACAATGTAAACTAATGAAAAAATATTGGGGTATTACAATAGCCGAGAAAAGTATTAGCACATTATTAACAAAATTTATTTATTTGATGATACTACAAATCATTTAGAACAATCATTTGTAATTTGTAAGGACACTAATAGTTGTAATTAGATTAATTTGTTAAAGTAATAACTAAAGAATAATTAGTGCCTAATGTTGTTTACACAAATTTTATGTTGATAAATACTCATTGTCAATATATATATATACCATTCACTTCATTATATATACATTGTATTTTGTGAATTACTGTTTAGACGGTCGCTGCAGCTCTTCAGTAGACGTTCTGCAGTGGTTTAGGTTGTGATTTAATAGTGTTGTGTTTCAAGATTTTACCCGGTGTTTATTCAGTACATTATAACGCTTTTGATGACTAATAAATTTATATGGAAGAAGGTGAACTAAATCATAGGTAATGTTGATAGGTCATATATCATTTTACTGCTACACTTACTAACCTTTGCTTATTTCATAATCAATGTTGCTACAAACTGAAAATGCGTAACTGCTGAAGACAATAATTGTACAAGCAAGTTATTTTGTATTTTAAAACATAATATTTAGAGAAGTCTTAATAGACTTCTCTACATACACGATGGGTAAAAGGGTGTTGGTCACTGATTAATATTAATAACCAAAACTCTTTGTCCGTTTTTTTTTGTATTTTTTCTTGGATTAGTGATCATTTACATTTAGATTAAGAATTAATGCTTGCTTGCTCATGTACACTTGGAAACGGAATTAATCTTGACAACAGAGTGAAAGTTTAAATAATAATTAATTCTTTAGGCGTAATTTATTAAAATTCGATAATTATGTCAATGTAGGCAAATAAGGGCATGCCCTATTTTCAGCTTTTTTATAAGCAACGGTAAATATCAGATATGCAGCTTTTTGTTTATCTATTTTTTGTCTAATAACATCGGTCTCCGTTTGCATTTCGAAAACACCTTTCAAGTTCAATCAAGTCAATTCTTTATATCATAAAAGTTGTATAGAAATTCAAAGTTTAAATAAGCAAGTATATAAAAATGAAATTTAATATCAAAGAAATGGGTGGGGCGGAATTACGGAATCCAGTTATAAATGAGATAATACCTAAGAAGATCGTCTCTCACGCGGTCCCCCTGGTAACCATCATGGTTGAATCCTGCAAAATGCATCATTGGCCAACTGATTTTATCTTTACCTACCATATCTCAAAGGTATCTCGTTTGCGCAACAATAGCACTGGCGAGTTTACCATTATATTTATATCAATTTACAAAAAAGTGGCATTTAAATATTAGTTCCTCCTTGTGTTGAAATTGACCATGTCATTCAACTGTTCAACTGTTTATTGTTCACCATTAAGAAATTAATTTTCCCCCTTTCCGCTCTATCACCATACTTGTCAACTGACATCCAAATAGGTGCATTTGTAAGTTTATTCAGCTTAATGACGACGTACTGACCCGAGTTAATGTATTTTTTTTTGTTTTATACTTTAATAATCTCATTATGATAAAACAGAATTTGTAAGTGCTAAACATTTTATACGTCATACTCATGAATCATAAAATAGGTTAACAAGGTAACAAATTAGGTTATTTATGAAAATGTTCGAAGTGGTAGAGTCCATACGTTTGTGCTTATAGTTTCAAAATGTTCTTTGACATCTCTGAACCGAATTACGACAAAGAAATACATTTTTCCAATCTAGAAATAAAACTAAACCATAGAAATGAAATCATCGTTTCTTGTCATCTTCCATACATGACGTTTCTATTTTGAGTGGGATATATAGTTTGAAATACTATCCATTGCTGCTGAAATTTGTACTTATTGTATGTGCCGACTACAGTCTGCATCAATGTACGCTCTAACAGAATATTCTCCACCCCCGTTTCGAATGCGCGGTATGAGTGACAAGGGGCATTGGGAACGCCCCTAAACTGTGTAGCTAAACTTCAATATACCGTTATCTCTCTCTTTCATTCAGTCTACCTTTTGTAATGAAATGCTTAACGGAGTGATCTGAAAAAATTTTTGTGCAGATACTGATACAGTCTGTATTAAAAATTAATAAGTCGGTATATAGTTAGTGCAAACTTAGTGGAAATCGTTGTTCTTAACGTGAAAGTGTCACGGTGGCATTAATTTCAGTGCTAGCGTAGAGCGATGTAGCGCGCCGTTTCCTTATCGATTTTCTCTATGCTGCATTAAATTACTATTAAAATTGTAAATGTGGATTGCAAATATTTTTATAATCATGTCATTGTGTTACGTCAATATATTTTGTAATCGAACCTTGAAATAAGTGTAGTGGTTAACACGTCAGTCAGCTCACCTCTGAAGTGCAGTAATTATATTACATACATAAATGTACCCGAGACGTGGTTTCTCTTTCTAAAAAATATAAAAAGTACTCTTAAAATAATTTTGTATCATGAGATGATAAAGTAGAAATATTGCCTTATGCCGCTGATCGTGTCACCATTGTTTTGGGAATGGTTCAATATATGGCTAATCCAATTTCTAAAAGATTTGTATCATGAAATTAAAATGGTGGCATTAAGAGGAACAAATACTTCACTAAATACTTTATCACATGCATGTGTTAATCATGGAAATCAGACTCAACAGAATGCGATTGATGTGGCGCAAAGTTTACAAACATCGTTGAATATGCCCCAATCGGCAGTGGCACAGCACATCAATGCAAATCAAATCAATTTGCAGCCCTTGAATAATGTTTCACTGCAATTTATACCGCAGAATTCGAATCCTAGTTCACTCAAACATGAGCAGTCCTCTACACGGTACTCCAACTCTAACTGTATGCTATCTTCACATCATTATAGGCTACTAACACAGGCCAGTAAGTGAATATTGATACATATAAGGTACGTCATTTATGGACGTTACGCCTACGTATTTCTGTTTTACTTTGACATCTTATAAAACATTGCACGTTATGTTTTGTTCAGTTTACAGATTGTGTTTTATGTAGTATTGTTACTTCAGTCATAAAGATATTGAGGACTGTAGGTATATTAACTTATTGGTAATTAATATTCGCTGCGGTTTTTAATTTTAATTCTAGGTGCTGATGTGGCATTCTTACGTAAACTATCTATTTACATATGTAAGTGTAATAGAGCATTTAAGTGTTATAATTTATATTTCCTTAACTATATTTATTCAGTTACCCACGGGCGTCAACACCACATCGTGAGTTGAGAAGCTTTTTGAACGAGAAAGAAACAAATATTTTAGTAATTTTTAGTAAAGTTCAAATATATATTATGATTTACAGGACCGGTGGATTGTTTCCATTCGACGGGCGGTGCAGCGGCGGGGTATATGCAGAACGCGGCTGGCGGGGCACAAACATCGGGACAAGCAGCGCTAAGGGTCCAACAAACGCCGCAACCGTCCGCTCCGCCAGCACCGCAGCAGGACATGTCAAAGACCACCATGGTAATATTCTGTCACTATCTTTTATCTAGTCTTTTTAGTTATTACTAGTTTTTTTTTTCGAATTCGTTATATCTTGTTTAATGATATAGTAGATGTAGAAGTTTACGCAAAAATTTCATGTCTACATCCAGCAGTTTCTACTAATCATTTAATTAAAATCTCGTATTATATAACATCAATTAGAGCCCTATTGCTAGCAGTTATCCTTATCAGGTCGACATTCAAGTGGTTCTCTCTAGAAACCCATAGTGGTTAAATATTGTCGCATTCGTCAAGATGGGCCAACTGACTTACATTCATTCTCAGTTATCATCTCACTGCTACCTCGCTAGCGCATATCAATAGCATAGGCTGGGGTTACTATTTTATTTTCACCCATAAAGTATATCGTCAATTGAAATTACATGTCAACTGAAGTAAATCCCTTTATGAAATAGGTCCGTCTATGTAAAAAATTTTTTTATAACCTAATATATATATTAAAATATACATGGTCACTATTTTCTCATTTATAGGCTGGTCATAGCTTCGTGGCTCCCCAAAATCAGACCCCACAAAATCGGCCCCAGTATAATTACCAGTACAGAACGGCTCAACACGGGACACGACCTACATCCCATCAAAGGTAAAATTTCTGCGATGGTCATTTTAATATATTTTGTAACTTATGTATTTATTTGTTAATAATTAAATATACTTTAACTAGAGCTGAGTAGAAGGTCGGTAAGGCTTAAACTATATTTAAGTATCTTAACCGCTAGTTATCAGAGTTAGGCTTTATATAAAAGTTGTATGCTTGAATGTTTCTGTCCTACTTGTATTACTACTTCGGAGCATCTTTTTGAAAGATGTAATAAATAAAACAGCGAAAATACAATGTAACAAGCACAGACATAACATCTTAATTCCCAGAAATGTCACCATAAGTAGTCTGCTATGGGAATTACATTGTATTTTGTGACGTTCGTGCCTATACATTGCAGGTAACCCTTTCCGTCTAATGAGCTGTCAGCTTGATTGTCACTTGAAATTATATAAAAAGAGTTATAAGTCATGTATATATTACAAAAAAAAATTAAGCAAATTATTTAAATTATCAAAGAGGACAAACAAGAAAAAATTTAAGGTAGTGTCTGGAAAATAATATTATTTTAGATCAAAGACAATAAGTTTCTTTAAATAAAATTACAGTTAGTTCCATTTAAAGTAATAACGGATATCATCCATTTTGTTATTTTATTATGCGTAATAGTTTCAGGGTGGAATGTCACATACTAATTATGCTCAGGCGCGCATTTAAATTTCAATCATTTACATTTATGAGCATGTTAATTTTGTCAACGTCAATATGAGTTATAATTTTTTACGTGGGGTTTATATATTTTATATATATTGAAGTATAGGTATACCAATAAACAGCGGTCTGTGGGGAAATGCGCTTTCCGAGGAGTACAGGCTGGAATATGGAATGAGGCAAGGTGGTTTAACCTCGCCCAGGCTCTTCAATTTGTATATAAATGATCTGATTGTTGCACTCGGCAGTAGCCGTGTTGGATGTCACATAGATAATGTCTGTGTCAACAACATTAGCTATGCTGATGACATGGTGCTGCTGACTTCAACGATCAGAGCCCTAAGACAGCTTATGCATATGTGTGAAATGTACTCAGCGAGTTATGGGTTAAAATATAATGTAAAACAAGATAGAGTATTTGATATTTAAGGCCAACGCTAAACGTCCTACGCATGTACCCGATATAAAAAGAGTGCATAAATTATATATATATATATATATATATATATACATAATATCTGGGGCACTATGTTACTGATGACCTTGAAGATCAAACTGATGTTGAAAGGGAACGTAGGGCATTGGCTGTTAGATGTAACATGTTGGCCTGCAGGTTTACCCGTTGTAGTGAAGATGTAAAAATCACACTCTTCAAAGCATACTGCCAAACATTCTACACGAGCAGCCTGTGAGTCAACTGCACACAGGCTTCACATAGTGTCCTACGAATTCAGTATAATAACAGTTTTAGAGTGTCGCTTTTGTAGCGCTTCTAGTATGTTTGCTCATTCTCGCATAGATTATTACTACGCTATAAGGAAAAAGAGAACTGTATAATTGCTACACAGAGTTAGAACAAGCACCAACAGCATTTTGAAAGTAATAGGAGAGAAATATAACTCGCCTATGATTGGGCATTTCATTCAGATGCTGATCTAGTCGGCTGGATCACATCTAGGTGAATTGCCTTAATTAATGTTTACTTTAATTGCTTTCTTTTTTATTTCTAACATAGTTTGTAAGGAAATTGTTACTAACATAATTGTTACTAATAATTAGTACGTACATATATTGTACTCGAATCGAAAATCTCTTGTTGTGTTGTTTTAAATATGTATAAACATGTGGCAGTATCAGTTCGCGGTAACGTTTTGTTAGTGTTCGCCAAATCAATTATTACTATTATAATTGTTGTGTAACTCACATTTATGTTATATTTTAAATCACTTACTTAATGTATTATGTGATTTATTGTATACTTTAAAATATATTTAATATCAAACATTTTATTTAGTTGTCAAAATTCACCGCTGCATGTGATTCGTATGAACTGTGTCAAATTAACATCAAATATTTTTAGAAGTCTATAAATTATATCTGAAAATTTGTTTTTTATTATTATATAAACTATATATACATTATACCATATATTGCGTAAAACGGAAAAAAACATTCGTCAAAAATGTGAAAATAATATACACATTCTATTATTTTTTTGCTATAGTAATATTATTTGACAATCGTAATGTAGTTATTCAGTTATATACATATTATAATGTATACAGGCAACAACAACCGTTTATCGCTGGCGCTACGGCTCCTACAACAGGGCCAATGATGTACAATGTACATCCAATTGTATTCCAGCCGACGCACATGGGAATGCAGACATACCAACCACGCTCAAATAGTCCAGGGTAAGTTTATTGTTAATTCAATTTTTGTAGCATATTACCATAAATAATACATTCAACGCTATTACAATTTATCAACGATATACCTTAAATACATGTTATACGATGTACAATAGTACATTATAGTTACCTAAATTGAAAGACATTTACTCAGAGCATCTTTCTTCACACACTATCTCTATGTAAGTAAACAGAAACGAGTACTATAGTCTATCTATGCTAATATACATTTATCTACTATCATAGCTTATCCAGCTCTTGCGATTATGTCTTTCCTCTTCTCGTACCTTACTGGACATTTTAAATAGAATTCTCTGAAATACATGAATAAAGATTATTATTAATATTTTGATTTATAGACAATAAAATGTTTCGTAAAATAACATAATTATTATTTGACCTAATGGAATTTGAACAGATATTCTGTACTGCTAAATTATTCATTTTCATGATACCTTAAAAACTACACAGCTAATCTTCCGGCTTATAGATCGTAAGTTCTATCCTGGTCGATTTTAAAAACTCGACTATCTCTGAAGGAGAACACTTAATAAACTGTTACTTTCCCTACAAAGATAATAGTCGAAAATGCCTAATACAAGAATATTATTATTATTAAATTATTCATAATAATATTATATGATAACTAGCTGACCCCGTAAACGTTGTTTTACCACTTATTGAGAAATATAAAAATCGCTATTAAAAAACAGGGGTTGATCGTAAAAGGGTAAAAATTTGAAGCTGTATGTATTTTTCGATGCTTAGTCATAATAAAATAAAAATAAAAAAAAATGTCAAAAGAATTAAAAAAATATATTTAAGGGTGGGTCACCCTTATCATTGAGGGGTCTGAAAAATAGATGTTGGCCGATTCTCAGACCTTCCCAATATGCACACAAAATTTCATGAAAATCGGTAAAGCCGTTTCAGAGGAGTTTGGTAACAAACACCGTGACACGAGAATTTTATATATAAGATTGTGCACTAGTACAAGAGTTTTTTTTACAATGATTATAACAGAAATACCACTGCCAACTATCAACACTATTATCATATTGATTTGTACTTTTATTTTCAGATATTTCCCTTATATGCATCAGTATTTGGGTTACAGCAATCCAGCTGCGAGCCATACACCACCATGTGAGTATTAATATAAATAATACTATTATAAAACACTAGTGACCCGCCAGCTTCGTGTGGATAGATATATAAAAAGATAATTTTAAATTTTAAATTAATACTTGGACTGATAAAAAATAACAACAATATTAAGCTAAATGCTATTCGCACATACTGCGGCATTTTCCTACCGTAAATACCGGGTAAACCGGAAATACCGTAACGTTGATACCTTGATATACCTTTTTTTTTTAAATAGCCTATGTTATTTGCTATAGCTTTATATAAGTGAACGAGTTTTTAATATTGTTTAAGTTAATTTTTAAATCAATCCATTGCAAACAAACGATCAAATCTTTCGTCTTGAAAATTTTAGTGTAAATTATAATGTGATTATATACGTGAATTGTATTTTAATTAACCAATTTATTATTCTTTTGGTATCAGATTATTACCCAAACCCAAATGGTCAGCCACTACAGACAGCTAATATACAAGGGAATGCTCCTGGAGGTAGAACCAATCCTACGACGCCTTTGGTGGGTCCACAAGGAACTCCAGCCACGCCGGCAGCACAAGCCTCTTCTCTGCCACATCCACAAGCGCCAACGCAATTTACCCAAGCGATGCCTGGTAAGAATAATTATACAATTAGTTACAGATACTGTACGGAATACATTAAAAATATATAAATAGTAAAAAAGACAAAATACACAGTATTATGTAACGTTAAAGTGCGATAGACAGGTTAGTCACTCAGAATTCATATTTTCAACCAATTTCAAAAAAGGAGGACATTCACAATTTCGTTTTTTTTTTTTTATTTTTGTTATCTCCATAACTCCGTCATTTATAAACCAATTTAAAAGCAGTATCTTTTTATCTGAAAGATTACTTGTGTACTTTCAGATTAATCCTATTGAAATTTTATCAAAATAGGGTTCAGTAGTTCAATCTTTAAGTCAAAATAAATGATTTTGTAACGATTGAAGTCCAGTTTTTGTGGAACAAATTCTTTCATTTTAATGATTACAAACGATAATCATTCTACTTTATGCATTTTGATTTGTACACGTAAACGTATATGCGTTTATATAATTAAAATTAGTTCTTCAACATTTCTTGTCATACTTAGTTAAACCCATGAAATTACATATTTTACATACATTACATTTATATATATTTTAAACGTAATGTTATAGAAGTATTGTAAAACTTTTCTACAAGAAGAGATAGAAGATTTTTAATTTATCGAAGTAAACCTTTAAATGCTTACGTATTAAAATTAATATAACAAATATGTGAATATCTACTATTTCTTATTTTTTTTTTTTTGCAAACCAACAAGAATTGTCATATACACATTACATGCACACTGATGTAATTGATTTTGGTTTAGCCTCTGTCTTTGCAATTCCATTTTTAAATACATATGTATGTATGGTTTCGTAGTTTTTGTGATGCCGCAACAAATATACAGAGAAAATACATAAATAATATTTTCTTGACTTCTATTTATTTGTTGAGTTTCAAATACGATGGATTTATCATGCATAGTTTACGAAATACTAAGGTCACCTTTCATTTTCATTATCGGACCTGCTCGATGGTACCATAATATTATCATTGAACTACATAAATATGCCAAATTTCAACACAAATGGACATCAGTATGTTTTCTATATTCGACTGTATATTTTTTTTTAAGAATGTCCACCGATTTCTCCATCAATTGTGGACCTATTTTAAAAATTATTTTTTTTTATCCGAAAGAGTATACTCCTGAGGTGGTCCCATTGTCATCAGGTCAGGATCTGATGATGGAAACCCTGAGAAATCGAGGGCAACCTTCAAATTTTATAGGCACGTATAATGTGTTTCATATATTTTTTATTTTTTTCTAAACTTATTCAGATATTTATATCTGGTAGTCATCATCCCATGATACGAAGGTGATGATGGAAGATACAGCCCCTAAATGTTTAGGAGTTTGGGAATAATTCTTTAAATACTATAGGCACATTACTAAAAGCCATTAAATGTTATATTCCCTTAAGTTATTCAGATGAACTGATGATTGAAGGTTTGACTCCTTAACAATTAAAGAGTTAGGGTTATTTTTTCTCGTATTTATAAGGATGTATAGGTTATTTCTTAGGCTTTTTCAATTTATTTCGATGATTGTGACTGAGCATTATCATTTAATGCTGCTGAGATGATGATGGGATACCACAAGGCTCTGTATGCATAAATGAGATAAATGCATATTATGATTTAATGATAAGTATTTCTATTGGCAAGTGGATGATTGGGTTCAAAGTTGTTATATAATATTATTACTAAAAAATAAAAGTTTAAATAAAACCCTTGTGAATATTGGTGTAATGTAATGGCCTTATTATTGCTAATGCGTATTTTAATCCTTTAAATTAAGTTTAATATCAGTTTATTTTTTGTTTTTGGGTTTTTACAATTAGTTTAATTTTTTTTAATTCAATTATTTTTTTATTAAAAATTTATTTACTAATATATAGACTGAAAATTTTAAACAGAAAGACTTATAAATACACTTGCACAATGCACAACAAATTAGCACTTTTTTACCACAAAACTGATTATTTGAACTTATTTTAGATATCATAAAAATAACGTACATAAAAATTTACAATCTAGTGAAAGTGAGAGACATTAGTTTTAGCTCTTAAACTGGCGGAACAAAACTTCTGATAATAATGTACCGAAAGGGTTTTATTTCTGATAAATACTATTTAATATTGATTTTATTGCATAGGATATACTTTTACGTCAATAAGTTGAGAATCGTCAGTGCCAGATTTTATCAAAACGGTTTATAAATAACAGGTAACTTGTGGGAGTTACCTGTTATTTATACTTTCCACACGACATTAGTTAATTATACACATATATGTATTTTATATTTATAATAAAACATTCGAATGTTTATATTGTAAGATGAGCAATTGTATTACCTGTCAAAATTTCGTTTAAATATGAAAACAACCTGATCAATACCACAGGTTATTATTGCCATTTACTGACAACTGTCGCTCCATATAGACTTTTTATCGAAATTTGCACCATGATCTTTAAAAATGTATAATTTTGACTATTTATGTTTTTTCAGGAATCCGGACTACTCAAATGGCACCTAAACGTAGTCACAGAGTGCCAATTATCAATCCTGATACTAGTAAGTACAGTATTAAATTATTATACTTATTCAAAATTAAATATTTTCGGTTATTTCTAAATTATTTCTATTTACAGAACAAGAAATTTATGTAGAAGAAAATCCTAGTGGCGATTCTAGTGGCAGACAAACACCACAAACAGTAAGTTATACCTTTTTGCCTTTGATTATATAGATAGTGTCTCCATACAAATGGTCCTCCGAAACAGGTAAATTTTTTTATTCATGTAAGCATGAATAGGGTTACCGTAATATAAATATGACTTTATTTCTTCAGCATCCTTCCACGATCAAACAACGAGACGCCGACAAAGATTTCACCTTTATATAATTGATGTTCCACTTCGTACCAAGCACTTCGCTCCATCGTTTTTTTTATTTTATACGAACAACTAAAGAGTGGAATACATTTTTATATTTGCCTTCTTCAGATAACAACTGGATTTTTTATGAATGATCCTCGTTACTTATTTCACGCCGCTTAGGCATTTTTCTAGTTTTTTTTTAACTGCCTCATGTAAAATAACAACCAATTTACAAATAATTTGGTGACAATTATTCACACTATGATGAATCATAGTAAACGAAAACTTTCCCTAAAATTCGACTAACCTGGAAATGAGTCACCTCTATTGTGTTTATAGTTTTATGAGATGTGGCATTGTTTTGATTGTCTCTTTTTAATCTTTAGACGTGTACTATGCGAGAATAGACCCAATACAGGTAGATAAGAAATTTCTAAGGATTTTTAGGGTGGCAAATACTTTTGGCCAAGGCTGTATGAAAAAAGCCTTTTATTCAGTCAAGACGCAGGCGATGTTACAGTACCTGATAAATTGATTATCGGTACATCGAGGTGTTATAGTGCATATACAGAAAGGTATAAGACAAGGTGACGTTATACTTGCGAAATTCTTCACCACTGTATTAGAGGGTGTGAGGGAGGGTGAGGGTCTACCTCTTGAACATCACTCGACTTCGATTTGCTGACGATATAGTAGTTATAAAAGAATCCCTGCAGGCCTTAAATATTCAATAACTTCAATCATCACCATTATCATCATATCAGCTATTATCCATCCATTGCTGAATATAGGCCTCTCCTAGACTAATGTAGTCTACGTAGGAACGGTTTCGAATCACCTGCATCAATTGATTTCTTGCCATGCATTTAAGGTTGTCACTCCATCGGTTGACCAATGTGACCAATGTAACAATATCCTCAGTAGTGTTTCTGGAAAAGTAGGTCTTAAGATGAACATGGATAAAACTAAAAAAATGTTTAATGTCCATTTTTCACCTATATACCGGTTGAAGTTTTTTTTTTTTTGGGATAATGGAATGGCAACCCCGCTTGCCTGGTGGATAATAGAAGAGGGTGATAACAAGTCGGTTAGCTCATTGTGTCGAATTCAATAAGAATTAAACATGATAATTTCTGGGGGCAACCCTGTAGAGGTTGATCTAATAAGGTATATTGCTAGCCATAGGGCTGTTAGACTATTACTAAAAATCTATTTACCACCCTATCAGTTATAGTTGGAAAATAATGTATATCTGCGACAACTTGGTAAACTGGGTAAATCCAACTTTGACTCAGAGGTCAGTCGATGAATCCAACTCAGCCGGGTAGTTTACGGGAAACTGGGCCACATTTTTTCATCCATACTACCACAAAGTCTAAAGACGAAAGTTTAACCAGTGCAGAAGCTTTACTTAGTGGGATTGAAATGTGGCTACATGAGAATGCTCCCAGTCGCTCAACGACCTCTGTAGAAGTTTATTGTTGGAGTTTCATTTCAAGGTAGTATCCAGAATGGGAACACTCTTAAAAGAAATTAAGTCACTGTTTTAGTCACAGAAATGACAATGGGCCAACCATATAGCTCCAGCAACCAATAAATGATGAAGGTAAAAGTTATTCGAGCGGCGACCTCGTACAGGCAGGCGTGGTATGGAGTGACGCCAGCGTGACGATGTCAAGAGTTGCAGGGTACCGTTGAATGCGCAGTTTGTGGCGTATTATGAGGAAGGCCTCTATTCAGTCGTGGAAAATAAATAGGTTGTAATGATGATGAAGAAGAAATTATATTGTAAGGTTAATTTGAAAAAATAAAACAATACAGAAATTCTTACAGATATATTTGAAAGAACGAGATTAACAGTGCATAATGATTATTAGCGATGCTTAATGTTACTTTGATTTATATCTGAGTATAGGCATAAAATATGTTTTCGTTTTAAAAACATTGCCGCTATTTTATTTAACACGTACATTAATCTATAAACAATATGTAGAAATGTATATTTATATTATATAAAAAAACAAGCGGCCCGTACGTGCTTTGCTGCGTATAAAGTAAAATAAAAAAAAATTAACATCAAATTCATCTATTGAAACAAAAATATATTTTCAAATAAAGTCTGTAAACGATATGAAACACCGACGAGTCGGTAAAAAACTGAGAAAAGTACACGCACACATATACATAGTATACATTTGAACAATTCAAGACTCACCGTTTGTATGAATGCATCCAACAATATGTTTAAAAATATAAACACAAAGCAATAACGCAAAACAAAATAAAATCACCGCATGAATGACATAACAACATGCTTGTACTGTCAACACTGAAAAAAGTTTCAATTTGACAGCACAATCCCTATCTTAAAAAAGTTTGAATTTGACTTAAAAATTCCTATTAACAAAATGATCCGCCATTTATTGAATTCATTTGTTACAAAAAATGTGATAAATTAAGAACCACTCGATCGATTTTGTGAAAATTTCATATAACCGGAACAAAGCCTAAACATTTAGTTTGGATAGGTGAGCCCGTTCTTGTGTAATAAAATTACAACGAAAAGTGGCATTAATTTTTATATATATATAGATTAGTCCCCAAATCAAATTCGGCCTGATTTGAGAAATGTTTTCATCCAATTACCATGCAATACTGAAAAATGGTATGTATTGTTTTAATTAAAAAAAAAACATGTATCTACATTTAGCCATACAAATGTCACTTTAGCTTATTAAATTTTAATCTGTTTTTGACACTATGCTCTTTATACTCTTATCTGAAATTTTAGCATGTATTATTTTAATAATGATTATTGTTATTATAAATCTTTTTTTTTTTTTCAAATAGGATCAACAAACACACAGCGCTGCTGAAGAATTTACTAGGAAAGTAAATGAAATAATAAATCAGCCAAGTGCTGTTGAATGTTCTAATAAATTATCGAAGAATAATGAAATTCCAATTACGACAACGCCAAGTTCGCAACAAGTTCAATCCAATATAACAATGACTTCTATAAATAATAATAATTTAATAAAAGATATAGTTCTTGTGAACGAAAATAAAAATTTAGGACTTGATGTTGCTATAGAATCTAATGATACACCTGTGGTGTCAGCAATATCTGATAGTCCTGTTATAGTGCCTAAACTTCAAAATAATAAACAACTCCAAAAGAATAGTGATCAGTCCTTAGTTATAGATACAAGTAAGAATTTAATTCATAATAAACAACATAAACAAAATAAAAGCAAACCGGTTGTGCCTCAAAACGAAGATTTAGAGAAAGTGTCGGATGTTATTTCTGATTCTCAAATCGTCGCGATGACTGTTAGCAATACCCCAGTGATTACGTATACGTCTGCTCCAGTGACTTCTCCTGAATCTGCGTCTCCCATTGTGCCGCCTGTTATAGTACCTGCACCTCAACCACAAAGAATACGAGAAAATAGGTCTAGGGTAAAATCAGAAGAAAAAGTAAAACATGTGGAGCCACAAGAAACTAATGATTTGCCTGTTTCTAGTAAATCAAATGGACCTACAACTAATGTTGGTGAGTACTTGTATAGTTGTTTACTTTCTCTATTGTATAATCCTTTTGAATATGATAACTCCATTCTATTTGAGAATATTTATAAATACTCATAATGTCATAGTGTGTAATGATAAATAGAGACAATTAATTACATCTTTTTTTTTCAATTAGGAAAATAATCAAAAGCACAATTTCTATAGCAGCTTAAATCATCAACACTTTATAGACATCTTTTCTCACTTTCTCTTAAAACTTATCCCTGCTGGTTACTCTGAGTCATAGAATTCTTTTTTTTTTTTTACTCTTCTAATCCATTTAATTATTTGATATAGTTATATTTTATTTATTGATTTATTATTCCAAGGAGTTTTGACGTTAGGCAGGTGGCTGGGCGAAAAACTAAAAGCGAAAACCTTGGGTAATATGAATAAAAACATATCACGTTAACTCCAAATAATTGAGATAGAAGCAGGAAATTTTATTTAATTAATTGACTAAGTAAGCTTTACAATTTCCCAATATGCATACTTAGGAAAGTATCAGTACTGTAATAAATACTGTAATAAAAAAATGCGAACAATAAATAAAAATTAAGTATTTATTTGTGTATATTTATGTTACGTATTTTATGTATATTTATAAAGGACGAATTATATGTTTATAATGTATTAGTTTATGTTTCTTCAATTATTAAATGAACCGCCAATCTATTTCTCTCGTTTGCCCAATCGTTGACTGGTAAAGAACACCATCCGGTGTTAAGTCCGTCAAATGTATATATAATTACACTGTGGTATTAAAGTTTTCTAATACAGAAAAATTAAAACCTCATACAAACCTATTTTAACTATTAGAGTATTACGTTACTGTCTTGTAGATTGGGAATATAGTATTTTTATGAATAAGGGGATAAATAAATAAATATTGACAACGCAGAAGAGAAAAAAAAATAATATTTATTTATTCTTTAATGCATAATAAATTTTGTACAAATGGTGACCTTAAAGGGACCACCGGGTGTCTGGAAGTTCAGAATTACATGAATTTTACAATTTTTTTTACATTTAATTAACAATCAAAACATATGAAACTTTTAAAGGACTATCAAATTACTATATACAAAAGTCATTATTACAAAGAATAACAAAATTTTAACTATTTTAAAAATGGCGTTGAAGTCAGTCTGTTTAAAAAAAAAAAGAACCTGGGCGGCGCACGATAATTTAGCTCTTCTATGGGTGTGAAATAAAAAAAAAACTAAACAGATTTTTAATCATTATAAATAAATCTATTGTAGGTCCTGAAATGAAAAAAATGGCGTGTTGTTTAAAATAAAAAAAAAAAATGGCTGGCGTTTTAGTCCGAAAATTTCTATTTTATTAATCACGTTTTGCATGTAAAAAAAATGAAAATATTTAACGCAAAAAGCTCTTGAAAACTAAAATCCCTTTACTTACAAATCAGGTATAGAAACCGAAGCAGATGCGTTCCGCCGAACAATAGAATTACTCACTTGGCCGAACAGCTAGACTACCTTCTTTGGAATTGACCTTTTAAATGGGTTTTACGATATAAAATACTGAGAATATTGTCACCAAATTTTAAATGTATATTTTTGAAATATTTACTATATTATCGAAATATGAAAAAATAATATAAATTTTTCGAAATTTCTAGACCACCGGATCACCTTAATGTCGTATGGCATTCTCTACCAGCTAAACATTAGGTAAAAACTGAAAGCATTTTAAGGCAGTGGTGGCGAACATACATTACACAAAAAATTAAGTGTATATATGTTATGTATATAAATTAACATAATGATAGATATGTTATGATATACCTATTTGACATATAAAAAATACCTTTTGTTGTTCTTTGTAATGAGGGATATAGATGATTATACGTTAGAGTGATTTAGAAAAGTATGTCAGTCACCTACAAAATATAGGTTTAAAGCTAATTTATCAAGAGTATGAACAATATAAATGCTCATTATTTTTAAAAATAATGTAGTTTCTAAGAATATGTTGTTAATATTAGAAAAAAAGAAACACAAAATAGCGCATAGTTCACATAATTACGCTTTATAGATTTTTGTCTTTAAATGCTATATTTTGTATAAGAATTAATATAAAAATATATCTTATTTAATAAAAAAAAATTATAAATTCCCACGCATTGAAATAAAAATTGTAACAAATACGCGAATTATGCTACTTTTGCAATTTCAATTTTAATGTATTTAGTGAATTATAGCAATAGACTTTTTAATCATTTATCCTACTACTAGCGGCCCGTCTCGGCTTTGCACGGGTGGACATTTTTACAATATTTAAAAAAAAATGGTTATAGTGACGTAATGATAATAGTTGAACATATAGTAACGCGAATTTTTTTGTTACCAATAGTTTCCGCAGCGCACGCGACAAAAGATATTCTTTAGCATTTTTTACATACAAAAATACAAATCTTTCCTCTTTATAATATTGTTGTAGATAACATGACACGTCAAACACGGTACGGCATTTTTTCAATTTAGAATAGATAAAAATTAATGTCACGCTTTTAATTATTCTACAATTATAGAACGTTTCTTAAATACCAAATGGGTCTAGTGATTTATTAAACCTATAGTAGGGCAAAGGTCTCTGATACTTAATTGACAGCAATTACATCACACTCAGTATATTATATCAGTTAATATGATATATTATTTCAATACTGGTTTCAAACATGATATTTTTGCCCTATATAATTATCTAGTGGTACTGATGTGAATAGCGTTCTCTAAAGATTGATAGTAAATAAATCAAAGGTGAGTAACTTATGTGCCTTATTATGTAGCATATACATCTTTCAATGTTTGTAACGCTTCGGAGATGGATTTCAGGGATAGTCGCTCTGTCTTCACCGTTTTCTCTTTCGACCGATTTTGTAGGAACCTACAAAATTTCAAACCTAATTTTCAAAGTAGGAAAGATATATAACTTTCAAAATAAGGTATTTATGCCATATTTTAAGTTCGATTTTATAGAATTGAAAAAAAGCCGTATCCAGTTTAGTGCAACGGTTTTTGTGTAATTCCGGAATAAAATACAAACAAACAGAAATTTTAATAATAATTATATTTGGTTTCTATTGCTGTCATAAATACCGTTCATATTATTATTTCTTATATCCGGATATCATCTAGTAACGGTTTATACGAGACGAGATATCGCGACTATTTACCAAACGGTAAAACACGTAAGTCTAGAAGTTAATATCTTCTAATTATAATTTTAGATAAACGAAATAGGTAGTAAGAAGATAAGTTACGTAATTACAAACTATTATATATAAACTTATGTTTATGGTACTGTAGTAGAATTATTATTTATTTTTAATTATATAATGATAAAAATATACAAAATGAAATGTGATAATACAGGTGACAAAAATATTTTAGATTTATTTAGTATAAACTGAATGTTCCCTACGATTAGTCATTTTTTATCACTTAATTATGACTGATTTTGTTTTATCTACTGTCAGGGTCGTTATTGCATAAGTATGCGATATACTATACTACAAATGAATATTGATAATAGGTATTTTAATAGTGAATATGTCGATGTTCGGGGTATCTACTGGATAGTTAATTATATAAATATCCAGCTATTTGTGAATCATACATGTTCATCGAGAGTTGCGTAGCAATTATTACATTATTCTTAATTGTTAAAACAATTAGATGTACTGTACAGGTTTCGATCACGAAATAATTACGAAACGTTTTTACCAAATAATAGGTATTCATTAAATCACGTTAAATTTTACAGCGCTAATTAAATTATTAAACTTTAATATTTGTTAAAATCTTAGTTTGTTTTTTAAATAGCAGTTGAAAAGTATGTATAAGATAGAGGTTTTATATATAAAGGTCCATTTTTATCTTTTGAGTTATTTCCTAGCAGTGAATCGTCTTTCATGATGAAAACGTCACCTCTATCGTAGCGACACAGTTGATGAAAGTAATTGTATCGATATTTTATATTTTTAGAATGAAGGTTGTAATTTCATTGAATCGAATATATTACGATTGTGTAAAGTCGAATAGAGCGATAACACAGAATAAAAGATTAAATATGTTAAATTAATTAATGAATTAATATTAAAAGTAAATATTTACAGGTATACTAGTTGACTAGGCAGATGACTCTTTTTTCAAACTCAGTGACCAAGCTGTAGCAATTTTTACCTATGTTTTTCAGCTAGTTTTATTGGTTATTAAACATTTTAATATATAAAAATTCCCTGTCACGATTTTCGTTCACAGCTAATTTCAGATTTTGTAAATGTGTATTGTTTGAGCTTAATATATAGGATAATTTTTATTCTAATAAAAAGAATATTTTAGGAGGTGATAGGGACAAAACAAGCTCGCTGTGGTTCAGGTAGTGTAGTATTTTAATATCAATTTTATTAGCAATTTAATTTGTTTTTATTTTTTAAACATAATATAAAAGTAACTGAAAATATTTGTTTTTCGGTTAGCAATTGTTTTTCTTTTCTTAATATTTTGCCAGAATCAAAACAGGGAACGACAGTAAAAGTAAAAATATCTCACGCGAATTTTGGAAGTATAAGCATTAGGAGGTCTATAGTATTTAAAGGATGTACAGGATGTAATATGTACTTGAATATTCAAGCAAGTAAATTTACAAGTGCTACAAAGTGGGTACTGGAATGGACCATGGACGTTATGCATTTTTAAGGGAAATCAGATTGGAGGACTATAGACATCGTGTAATGTTCTCTAATACTGGCAAATGTCGTAGAAAGAGATTGCCATGAATATGCTATGAGCTCTTTATTTGCGTTGTATAATAGTGACAGCTATTATTAATTTCTTTTTTTATTTCTTTGTTTAATTGCTAATAATATATAAGTTGAAATTGAAATTATTATCATTTTGGTACATATTCTATTAATAAAACAGTTAAAAGCGCATCTTCTCCCAAAAAAACATGAGTCAATAAATTAAAAAATCTTTCGAGTCTCAAATATGTGACATCTGGACATACTTTGTCAGTAGGAATCTCAAAATATTGTGTCGTCTTTCACTCTTATGTTTTTTTGAGAACATACACAGTTTTATTGTATAATAATTATCATGAGTTATACTGTGGTTGATTCTACGGCACGATTTCTTTAAAAATTATCTCTAAAATTAAAATTAATTGTTGATATATTTTAAATGAAAATTTTTGAGATATTTGATATTACAGCGAAATTTTTATTGTAAGAATAAATATGAACTCATTTTCTAAAAAATGTAAGTAATAATTATTGTAATTTTACTTTATAATGACCCAAAATTTAAATTCGGGGATGCTGCTGGCCACTCAATGCTACTCACAAAACATCCGTGAACTGTCCTCATGAATAAAGGCTTCTATTGATTTGGAAATTGTCAAGTTTCCCGAATTTAATCCGTGAGTAAGGTCTAAAAGTTTGATATCAGCCGTTAACCACTGTTTAACGTAGGCTTCCTCCATAAAGAGAGAGTTAAGCGTGACATTTTAGGCAGGCGGTTTGACAATTACAGTTAGTCTTTGGTAATATTTTTAGAGGAACGCTGATCCCCATACTTCGACTATTAAGCTCCCTTCGTCTTTCTTATGACACCCACGGGAAAGGAAGGGGTGACCCATGCTATACCAGAATTACACGATAAAGTCGAATTAAATAATTACAATGCCCAATTTCTTTGTCGAAATAGTCGTTTTAAAGGACTGCAAGTGCTCTGGTATAAACATAAATGGCGAATACATCACTCACTTTTAGATTTGCCGATGATATAATAAACATGGCAGAATTCTTGAAAGGCTTGAATATTATGCTCAGTGACCTCAATAGTCTTTCTCAACAGATAGGTCTTAAGATGAATACGTCCATGTCAATTATACTGGCCATAACTGAGAACACTATGCTTTAAGTTGTCGATGAGTGTATATACCTGGTATAACTTATTCGACTAGGTAAGCCCAACTTTGACCGAGAGGTCACCCGACGAATCTAACTCGAATGGGCAAAGTTCAGAAACACACCACATCACATCCAAAATATCTCAGTTTAAATACAAAGGTCTTTGACCCGTACGTGTTGCCACTAATGACTTACGAAACCGAAACATGGTCCTACAAGATTGCCCGTATGCAAAAGTTTCAAATTACTCAGCGAGCTATAAAGAGGGCTATGCTCGTTAGTTTCTTTGAGTGACAGAATCCAAAACGTACCAAAATCAGGATATCCGTAAAAGAACCAAATTCACTGACAGCTCGAAGGATAAGCATAGTTTTTCTCTTCTTCAAGGTAATGGAGCTTGTATTTGATACGCAGCTCATTGAGTACCTAGAGAATCACGATTTATTAAACAATACGGTTTTTCTGACATCTCCAACACGGAGGTCATCTTAAAGGTAGGGTCAAGCTGGCGTCGAAAAAGCTCGGGATGTTCAATAAAACGTAACGTTAATTCATCATGAGACAAAGACTATTATTGTACAAATGAATTACTGTTCTCTTTTGCGAATATCATGAACTACTGTTATCTTTTATGAGGCAAAGCACCAGGTTGGTCACCTTGATTCGGTTTAAAAACTATCTATGACAATTGTCGACGACGCGAAGCTCACAGGTAATGTCAAGCCCTTTAAATTTAAGGCGAGACTGCCTTTCTTTGTGTATTCTACCGTTTGTATAACGGAATCTGTTCTGAGTAATTGTTCAAAACGATGCCCAAAATTACCTTTTATCAACGCACAGTTGGCCATAGACAGAAAATTCATCGTCATACGCTAATACTTAAATGGTCGCGCACAGTGCTGTTTCGGAGAAGTTTGCTCCCGCGAACGCTTAGGCTGTGAAATGTGTTCTCTGCTGAAATTTTCCCTAGAAACTACATTATGAGGTTCTTAAAAAAAAAAAGTATCTAAAGTTTCTTCAGATTTGGTAACGCCGCAATGGTTTTTCTAAATCTTAATTTTTAGCATGTTCCTGAAAGCGATTACTTAACAGAACGTTGATGATAGCATCTCTAGAGAACGTTTTAGAAACAAAATTACTATTATGAATTAGTTCTGTCTTTTGCCATTCGATCGCAAATAGCTCTGTTTGTCAGAGAAAATTTTATTTAACACTTCTAGCAATTAGGAAGCTTACAACGTAATAATTTTTATATTATTATTGTTCGCGTAGTGTTTACACAGTTGCGAATTGTAGGCAATCAGCGCTCTTATAAAAAAAATCTGTTCTTATAACGCCCTGAAATTCTTCCGGTAGTTCATCGTATATTATTTTTCTAATTAACTATTTATTCGTATTTAACTATATACTATAAGGCCATATTAAAAAAAAAGTTCATAATTGTTATTGAAATAAAATGCTAATTATTAAAAACATTGCTTGCTAGTTAAATATTGATAATATTTATATTTGAAGGTCTTGATAAAAGCACAAAAGACCATAATTGACTATTACATATTCAGTGCCTATTTGATATATCGTAATACAAAAAGTATTTTCGATTGTATTAAATCGACTGTAAAGTATAAATCGATTGATTATGTACGTTCGCACATCACTAGAAGTTCTTAAGAAACGAGACTTGTTTTCATCGTATATTATTTTTGTAATTAACTATTTATGCTTTACTATTATTCTTAAGTAACTATTTATTCTTAACTATTCGTATTTAACTATTTACTTTAAGGCCATATATAAAAAAAGTATATATATAAGATGCCAAGTATTAAAACCTTTGCTTACTAGTTAAATATTAATAATGTTTATATTTGAAGAACTTTATAAAAGCACAGAAAATCATAATTGACTAATGAGTGCCTAATTCATATATCGAAATAAAAAAATTATTTTCGATTGTTTTAAATGACTGAAATGTATAAATCGATTGATTATGTACATGCGCACAACACTAGTTGACCGTAGGTCGCCTGTCTGTATGCATGGTTCAATATGGCCGATTTTACATCATACAGTCGTTTGAAGCACTTCTCGCTTTAAATATTTTTAATATTTTATTTCTATACACTTTTTTACAATATATTGTAATTTAGCATTTTTAGCAATAATTTTTTAATTAAGTTTACAAAAGTAATGTGTTTAAATAGTGTTAATAATCCGACAATCTAGATTCTTGAGTGACCTTTTAGATATACTTTCTTTTACCATATTGTTACGTTGTCGTATGTTCTTTTTTCTGGATTTTTAACAAGTTTTTGAATTGGCGAACTGTGATATAATTTTAGCCATCAGTGCCACATTATAAAGTCTGATATAAAGGTACAGTTTGTGCAGGAACTCCCACGTGGAAATACCTCACGTCTCTATTTTTAGAACTCGAACGTGGTTCGCAAAAAGTGATAGGCGATATTAAAAATCTATTAATGCGCCTGTATTATTTTGTGCACACGTTGGTCAAACTACATGTAATATACCAAAATTTTATTACTTTACAATATTATATGTGATATCAACAGGTCAAAAGCCTTGCATTACGTTATTGAGCCACAGGTGTTTTTCTATTTATTAAGTAGACTACATCATTACGAAATTTTAATTCTTTATCTGTTATATTGCAATTTACATATATTGAATGCAATATTATATAAAGACATGTACTTTGAATAGATTTTAAAAATTTGACCTCCATTTTTACATTTTAGAAAAATACCATGATTGTCTTATACTGCTATCATAACATTCTATTAATACAAACAAGTTATTTACTTGGGTATAGCAATATACTATTATATATCAACTTATGTATATATGCTGATAGACTTAATTATTGATTTAAAATGATTCAGTAATGACCATTATAAATTCATTTATGAGTCAGGCCTCTAATGAACCTTGATGAAAAGGACATTAGAGACAAAAGACTGTCTATGTATTTATTGCCTTATGGACATATAAGTTAATTGCACTTTAAATTCTTGCCTTTTATGTAACTAACATCTTTGTACACAGTTTTAAGGTTTAGTGAAGTGAAATAAATATCATCAAGCTTTAATTTTGTGTAGATACTATAGACATAGTTACAGAATCATATTTATTTAAATAATATTGTAATTCTATCTTAATCTAAATATAAAAAATAAAATTCGAGTCTAGTGATTAAAAGGGAATGATATTGAAAGTGTATGTGAATTGAGAATATCTGTGTTGTGTCTGTACAGTCAGAAAAAGATATGGAATAGATATCTATCTATGAACAATTTATTTCACCTATTTGATGGTAAAGAATGTGATGATATTGAAGTGGTTATGAAATAAATACAGATGTTGTGTTCTTTCTAAAAAAATCATTATGAACATTTTGTAAATTGTTTCCATTGTCAAATTTTATTTAAATATATCTACATTTGTTCAACTAAATTACTAACAATAAACATATATTTATACAAAAATGGTAATATTTTGTTACAGTGATTAGTTCAGTTGATAGTTTGCAAGAAGTTATCAACTCTCCAACTAGTCAATACAATAAAACAATAGCAGTTGATTTAAATAAGAAGCAAACAACACCACTATTGATTCCGTTAGATATTGAAACGCAAGCAATCGAAATAAATGTTGATAAAAAGAATTTAAGTGAACCTATTGAAACAGTACCAACTGCCACAGAGTTATTATCAGCCAGCATAGAGAAGGTTGCCAAGGAACTGCCTACTGCACCGGAAACATCCGAAAGTAAAGAAGCATCTAGTGCAATACAAGCTCAAGCCAAGTTAACACAAAGTATAGCCAGCTGTCTTCGCACTAATCAACCTGATTCTAAGATGAAAGATATTAATCTTAATAATAAGTCCACTGGTTTGTTATCATCTTTCATCTTTGTTAAGTCTGTTTAACACTAGACTTTGCTGTAAAAACCTTTGCTGCCCTTTCTGTACCTTCGCTTGAATATATAATTTGAAATGTGTGGTTAATTGTATAATAAAATTATATTTTTTTTTTTAAGATCCAGATTCTGCTAATGGAAATGGTCTAAAGATTGACATTACTAAAGAAGATATAAATAAAAATGAAAAAATTGTAAAAAATTCTAAAAATAGTAATAAAAAATCAGCTAAAATGGCTAACAGTGACACAAATTTAATTGAGTCGAATCCTTATCAGAATGGAAAAGACGAGACTGATAAAGTCAATAATGCAAAACATGAAAAGAGCTTGTTATCACCTAAGGAAGATGAGCTTGTGTCGAAACCCATAGAAGTTTCTGAAACTCTTGTGACTCCATCTGTATTTGTGCCTAAATACAAATATAGCGAAGGTTTGTGTAAAAATTAATAATTCTTAATTTGTATATATGTAGTTATTGACATTGTTTTTTATAATCTTTTTATCTGTATTTTAGATCAATGGTCTCCAATAAACAAATCAGGAAAGAAATGTTATAATATTGGCTTATTAAAGCAAATTAAGGATGATCCTCTGTCCAAGAACAAACCGAACGTACCCTTGCTAGAGACATGCAACATAATAAAAGTAAGTAATGTTCATTTATGTTCAGAAATTGACTTTTTTGTAGAGAAAGTGACATTAATTTATCTTTTTTTACAGACAAGTACAATTCCAGAAACCATAGCATTCTCCCCTATCACGAGACCAATAAATGATTCTCTTTTCCCTCCATTTGCAAAAAGTTCAACTATAGGAACTACTAGAAGCAATACTCCACGAGATGCAAAGAAAGATAGCAGAAACTTGTCTTTGGGAGGTAAGAATTTGTTTATATTTGTCCAACATCTGTTCCATTTTATATACTTCAAGGTATTTTTTTTTTATTGCTTTTTAATATGAAAAACAGTATTAAATTATATTAAGTTGCTAAGTAACACTATATGATATGGTTTGCATGATAAATTTATTTTGCAGGCAAAGGTAGTATGAAATCAAGTACAAGCCAAAATAGCAATAGTGGTGCTAAAATAATTCATGTGGTGACCCTGTCACGTGAAGAAGTTAAATTAAATGAAGTTGACTCTGCTTGGAAGCCATCTAGATTTAGGAAAGAGACTCTTACGGAAGATGCATACAAAACTCAGGCAAGTTTCAATCTTGTTTTATTTGTATACACAATAAAATTGTAACTAAACAATGTTTGTACAAAGAAGATATTTAAGGAAAATTTATGTTTTAATCAGGATAATATACCAGAGGGAGACTTCATAGAAATGTTTATGTGGATATCCTTGTCTCATTCTGTAATATTTACGATGCTGTTTATACCTATAGATGATAGTTACTACTTTCCATCACATAGACATTATGCTTATTTACCAATCAAAGTATCATCAAAAACATTTTTTTGTCGAGCTGTTTATAGTAGAGTTTATGAAGGTGTAAAACTCGATGTGTATTTTATCTTAATTCACTATCTAGAAATGTTTTTTTTATTGGTTTTTCTACTTCCCAAATTTACGTTGCGGGCATAAACTAGTTAATACAAAAATATGTGTTTTATTATGTTTAAAATATTAATTTTTTGTTATCTTTTCAGGAACTATACAAAAAGTTCCGAGGTATTCTTAATAAATTAACACCACAAAAATTTGATACACTACTGGAAAAAGTGAAAACTTTAGAAATAAATAATCAAACACGTCTTGAAGGCGTTATTGATCTTGTGTTTGAAAAGGCTATAGATGAACCCAATTTCTCTGAAGCTTATGCGGCTATGTGTAACAAACTTTCAATGCTCAAGGTAATTAGTTATAGTAGAGAATAACACATTAATTCATAAAAACTGTATACCTTTCAAAACCATTTTAGCTATTGAAGTGTTCTAACTTTTTTTTTTGTGCTGCTACATTTTCAATTAGAAATAAAGTCAGGCAATATAATAGTTAAAATCAGTTTGAAGGTTTGAGTTTTTATGAATAAATGGCTAAATTGGTTATGAATACATTGATGCTCCTTTCCACTTTGGGTTTTCTGGAACTCTTTGTTCAAGCTCGCCTTTGTGTGTTTGCTTATTTTCATATTTTTTTTTGTATTAATATTTTTTATGTATACAATAAAGTATAAATAAATAAAATGAATAATTTGACAACACTATGATATCTACTTTATATATACCACCATCTTTACAAAATTTTAATTTACAGGTTCCTGCTGATAAGGCGAGTACTCCTGACCAATGTGTTAATTTCAGAGCACTCATTATCAGTAAATGTCAAAATCAGTTTGTAACAAAGAAAGTAGATGACCAAGTATTGAAATTAGAGAAAGAAATCGCTGAATGTAATGATGCTGTAAGTATACTTAAATGTTCAATAAGTCAAATAAAATACATCAGTATTTTTACTTAAATTATGTTATTATTTATGTTTAGACTAAAAAGAAGGAACTTCAGTTGATTTTGGAAGAAGAGTATAGACGTGCTCGCATGCGGTCGGTTGGCAATGTCAGATTTATTGGTGAGTTTATATTTTTTTAAATTAAACCAGTTTACAAATATTACTTTACTAATTAAATATTAATACATTAACAAAATGAGCATTTCGAATGTGTTAACTCTTAATTAATGGAAACTTTTTAAACATTGATTTTTTTTTATTTACACCAAGTTTCTGTTTAATGTAATTATGTTATATTATTAATTTATGAGGACATTATAGCAGATTTAACACTATATCTACCATTCAAGTAGAGAGAAATAACAAAGCAACTACAATATTATGATTAAGTAATTACTAAAAAAGGATGACCGAAATCAAAAACATACATAATGCCATATCCATAGTGTATGGCTGGTCTCGATTTGAAGAAACTTCACTCGTGACTAGAACGGAATGGGACTGAAGTATGTGTGAAAACACACATTGTTTCTTACGTGATAATATTTTACAACAACAAGGTTGGACCCAGAGCGAACCGAGGCAGGCACATGGATCTGGTCTAGGGGCTCCTTTGTACCTTTTTGATATTGAACTCTAACAAGGGGGTGTTAATATTAAACATTTGCAATGCCTATTGCTTATATTGATATAGGTCTCTTATTTGTTCAAATGCTCAGGGTTTACTTGTTTAAAATGCATTAATATTATTTTTATCTGGTATATAATAATTTATTTAATTTGTAAAATTAATAGTAATTATTGTGCAATTAGCAAAAGAATAATTCTTAAATAATAATTTTCAAAATGAAATAATCAGAAATGGAATAATCAGCAATTAGTGAATACTTATCACTGATGTTAATATTATAAACTTTCCTAATAACTACTTGGTATAATGACAAATAAAAGGAAATTGTTATACGATTTTTAAAATATAAAGTGTACTGCGGTGAATATTTTTTTCAACTCTCAGTCTAAATACACATTGAATATAGCTATTTGTAAAATATATATTTGCAATTGCGAATGTGTATTGCGTTCTTTAATAAAAGCAAATATTTTCCACAATAAATGTTATACTGCCTGGGCGATATTACACTTTCAAATATAAAGTAACTCTAGAAACAACAGTATCGAGTGAAAAATGGATTCAGTATGTCATTCAAGCTATACAAAGTATAATTATTGTGAGACTATGTTCTAACTATTGCTAAACAATTTACAAAAAAAGAAGGTTCTAACTAAATTCGTCTGTATTTTTTGTGGCTATGTTGCGAATTATAAACTGATTCTGCTATGTTTTTTATATGTTTAGGTTCCGACCACGAAATATAATGACAACGATTTTGGCCCATATATAACTACCTCGTAGTAACATCTTTATTAATAACATAATTACTTCTAAGCCTTTGATGGCGCTTAGACATCACTCATCAATATTAAATATTTTTTTGTAAATTTTATTCACATATTAATATCTACGATGGGCCGACTCGTGGTGTCAGGTACCCGTCTCCAGAAAAGTTGAAAAACAACATTCTTAAAAAGTTGCGAAGTCCCTATAGTATGATAATCAATAAACAGTCCGTTTGTACTTTCTCCACATTTAAAATTCACAACTTGTGTTCCTTCCATATTCTTTTTGTGACGATTAAAGCCACCGTTTTTATTTATAAAGCAGAATATTGCTTATTGGGAAATAAATCAATTTGAGTACATATGATTTCATGTTTTATATTAAAATATTTCAGTTTAATGTTTTTATGAAACAACTAATCGTTCAATTGAGTTTTGTTACAATTAAAGTAAATATTTTTTGCACCTATTTGTGTACACTTATTTGTATTTGATCCCATATATCTTATTGGTGTACACAATATGAGATTCTTATTGGTGTTCAAAAATTTACTTATGCAATTAAATAATTATAGTATCTGTAAACTATGGAATTTTATTTTTAAAAATTCAGAATTTTTAATTTATTGTTTCAGGTGAATTATACAAATTAAAAATGCTTACATCAAAAATAATGCTGTTCTGTATGAACCATTTGATAGGAGATAAATTGGAAGAGGAAAAACTGGAATGTTTGTGTAAACTTCTTACCACAATCGGTGAACAAGTTGAGAATGAAGTAAAAGAACTCGATAACGTTTTTAAGAAAATGCAAGACATTATTAATGACCGCAAAAACAATAAAATTAGCAGTCGCGTAAGATTTATGATTCAAGATGTAATTGAATTAAGGAGACGAAAATGGGTTGGTAGAAGTGTAGTCGATTCTCAGCCGAAAATGATGGACCAAATTCAGAAAGAGGCTGAGCAACAACAACGTCAAATCGAGGTAAAGTACACAATATACATAGTTAAAAGGCGCTTATCAACGGCTCTGTTACAAGAATAATAGTTCTAACATAACTGGTGAAATTTTAATGTCATTTAAGCATAAACATTCGTTTACTTGTTTCTTCAATACTATTACAAGTTGTAGAATACGTGTATATTTTTTTAATGGACTATAATGAAAAGGTAGTCCGTCTGCCGCCACTATCGGTATACACTGGCGAGGCACCAGGGATAGTTGATAGATGAGTATGTAAATAGGTCCCTGGAGCTATCGAATTCAACAATAATTAACCACGAGGTTAATCTGGTTGAGGTCAACCTGATAACATGATTAACATTTTCATACTCGTCGTAATGTTGTAATTGAAAGTCCCGTTCAAATAATTTAAATGAAATTTACATATACTGTGCATTTACAAATTTACATATACATATATTTCAATGTGCAAATTGTTGGTACAGTAAAAATATCTATGAAATATATGGAAGACCAATAAATATACATTAAGGATAGTACTAGCATTCTCTTTATATGTGAATAAGTAAGAATTTTACTTTTTATTGATATTTAGAATTGATAGTCCTTTTTAGGAGAATTTAAAATAAAAAAATGGGACCAAACATATTGTTGAGTTAATTATGAAATACCTTTCTATGGAATCTACGTGTCAGTAAACACTAACTGAATGATGAGATTCCTTAGTTTTTTGTTATTTTAAAATTTAAAAACTTTGTTGCGTTACATAGGCATCCACATAATGTGTTCTACATTTTGACGTTCTATTTTTTTCTACAATCTTTATAATCACGTAATGCGTGTATTTAGGTCTGTTGATATTTTATTATTCAATCTTGATTGTGATACAGGGTGGCCCATAAGTCCTTAGTAATGAAAAAAATGAATTAAAATAAAACTAATTACACTATGAATAATATTTTTATTTGTAAATATAGCTAGAAAAACGGGAATTATTTATTGTAAATAACGTCGTCCAAATGTAATCCGTTACAGTCACGGCACTCTTGCAAACGCCTTCTGAAATTGTCGATGACTGCGCGGCACGTCACTGCTGAAATGCTTGCCATTTCTCTGCGGATGTTTTCTTTTAGGTCATTAATTGACCGCGGGTTAGAGTCGTACACTTTAGCCTTAAGGTAGCCCCACAAAAAAAAATCCATTGGAGTCAGATCCGGGCTACGTGGTGGCCAGGAAATGTCTCCTCTCTTAGAGATAACTTTGTTTGGAAAAAGTAGACGGATAACGGGCACAGCAGTATTGGAGGTGTGGGAAGTTGCTCCATCCTGTTGAAACCATGTTCGGGCATTAAAGCCTGGAAAGTTTTGCAATTTTTGTTGATGCCATGGGCTGACTGTAACTTTAGGGCTATGTAAGGGCTTCTGATACTTAAGTTTTGGATTAATCGGGCTCCAATAGCGGCAATTTTGTTTACTAACATGTCCGATAATGTGGAAGTGTGCCTCATCAGAGAACATTATGTTATTGAACGAAGTAAACCGATTAAACATTTCATTAGCATAATTCACTCTCTGAATAGCATCAGTTTCTTTTAATTCTTGTACCAACTGAATTTTGTAAGGGTGCATAAGTAAATCTTTCTTCAAAATCCGTTGTAACGATGTCCTGGATACGTTTAATGCACTGGAACGCTTACGAGTTGACTGTGTAGGATTTTCACGAATAGATTGTGCCACTGTGTCGATGTTTTGTTCCGTACGTGATGTCCTTTGGCAACCCAACCGCGGTTTATCTAACGTCGAACCGGTCTTCTCGAACTTAGCAACCCAATTCTTAATCGTTTGGAGAGCTGGGGTGTCATCAAAGTTGTGTAAACCTATGTGTTCTCGAAATTTACGCCTCGCAACGGTTGCCGAATTGTTGTTTTGATAAAACTCGCGCACACAAAACGCACGGTCCGCTCCGGTGAAACGCTCCATCGCGACTAAATTCCCAGAAACCGAAGTTACTGCCCCCGCTGCCCCTGCACCGCTCACGCGCGCCGTTTTCGTTTAATTCAAATTTTACTTTTCTAAGGACTTTTGGGCCACCCTGTACTATTAGTTGTATAAGGAAGAATATCATAATACAAATGGCACCATAACATGATTTATTTGTAAAGTATTGACAAATTTTATCAAAAGTCGGTTTTTGTAACTTAAATATATGTTTAAATATTATACTAATACGCTATAGCCTCGCAGACATTTTTGTGAATATTAAAGAGTATTACATGCATATAGTATATTATGTATAGTCAATAATTTTCGCGAGCATCAATCTAAACAACTTATAAATTCTAGCTACATTGGTTTTCATTATTATAATTTTCTTAATTTTTTTTTTGTTTTTAGTTAAATATAATAATAATAATTGTATGAGTTTATGCACAACAAACAAACACAAAAAATTAAATCTCTATTTGCTATTGTAATATTTATTTATTTACAGTTATTGAATTCTACACCTGTGAGTAGTTTCCGAAGTCGTGATGAAGGTAGTCGTGGAAAACGTGGTGAAGGTCGTAGACAGAATTCCAATTCTTTCCAAATGGATAATAGCAATATTTGGAAGTCTACAAATCGTTACACAGTAGATACATCCAAGTTTAAAGCTGCTACTACAACAAGAGTAAGTTATTTATTTTTTACTAGCTTTTGCTTGCTACTTCATACGCTTGAATTTCAAAAGTAGGAATACTAATTAAATAGACCACTTCTAGATAGCAAATCAGTGTAAAACATACACCAGATAAAACCTTTAAGAATAACATTCAAAAATGCATCTTATGTAGTGCAGTAGTTTTACTCGATGCAGAACAAACGTGCAGTCAGACAAAGTTTTTAAAAATTGTTGTTTTACCATGTATTGGTCTTACTAAGACCCTTTATATAATTTTTTCTCAAATATCTCCTATATAGCAGACATTGTCATTACAATTTATTATATTAGTAAGATTATGGAATGTCCTTAAGAGATTGTTTTCTACATAACCAGCTCTAGTTATACTTTGTAAATTAATTAATTTACAAAGTATATTCATTATATAATTAATTGCAGAAATTTTTGAAGCCAAAAGTATTTTGTCAGTACTGCCACTACTGAAAATGTATATGCAGTCTAAGAACAATATAATGTTAAAAATCTTGGGGGAAAAAATTACAGTCTGTTAATTTCTTCACATAGTAGTTTTTATTTGCTATTATTGAAAAATCAATTTATTACATTTTTATATTTAGAAAGTGAATATTTATTATTTCTAAATATTTATATTTATACTGTCCATGTCCATGGACATAACAGATTATACTGTATTGCTGTCACAGTAGGGAATATGCACATTTTTTAACTGAATTTGGTAATTGAAAACATATATGGATGAAGTCGTTATATGTCGCATTTTCGCTTTTATATGCATGGATAGAGGTATTATGAATATACTAACTACTATAATCATAGTGTATTATATGCATATTAGCAACTATAATTTATAGTAATAGAGTGCAAGCGTAAATTATATTAGTATGCACATTGCACCTACTGACACCTTCATTCATTCTTGTCTTCAGTTATTTACATCCCTATAACACAGTAAAAATAAATAGTTTACTTCTTTAGTAAGTAAAGTTTAATACTATTAAAATATTCAGATTAAGTTTTGAATAGTTTTAACGGTCATTTTGCGCGGATTTTGAATGACGTCAGATACCACGTACATTGTTTACCATAAGCGTTGTAATTTTTTCATATAGATTTTGAAATTGGATTGCTGTACAAACCATAGGAGCTAAAAATCTTTTTGTATAATAGATACTGTGTTATAACTAAGTTCATAATAGTACTATTAGGTATCTTAGTAATTCACGGCAAACTTAAATACATAAATTTAAGTAAAAGTAAATAATATCACTTACGTACGTACGTACGTACTTTTAAAATAACATAATGTAGATAGATATCTACATTATGTTATTTTAATTTAAATAGGTAGGATTTTAATTACTAATTTAAGTATCCTGTTCTTTATTACAATATAATCTATCCGGGACCAAATTTCATTCAAGACCGTTCTGTAGTGTATGCGTGGAATAAATAACAAACTTATCCATACTCACAAACTTTCGCTTTTTTAACAATATCTTACAGCTTTCATTCCTTTAACTTCAGCAGACGTTAAAACTGGATTTGGTCCTAAAAGCGTCCATTTTGATAGATTATCCACTTGTACTTTGAAAACCTACTTGAGGTAACGGTCCAGTTGATTACTAATCTCAATAGGATGCTGATCTGGCTCGGAGCTAGTGAAAACCACTAAGCCACCATTTTAAACTAGTTTTCTTTCCAACACTGTATGAATGTCGATAGTAATAAAGCCGATGCGTGATACGTGACGTCACAATTCGTGTCGATCAATAGTGATATGAATCTTGCTTATTTACAATATTTTAATTAATATTTTGTATGAAATTTAATATCAACTAAATTATAAAAAAAATGTTTTAGATTTATAATGTTGTCCGAATGATAAGTGTTAGGAAAAAAATTCAGCTAGCTATAAATCTTATGTATATTGCCTATTGTAATGGTAAAAATGTGCAGACATTTGTATCATCAAGAGGGGAGTCACTGAATAGTCAATCAGATGTTTCTTATATTTATCTGACATTATATTTCAGAATTTAAATACAATCAAATTGGCCCCTCCTACGTGGGACTTTGGATCAACTGTGAAAACAAATACCCTTATTATTAGTGACCCTATGGTTAGTCATTCCAAAAACTTTGATAGATTGTCCAATTATACTTTGAAAAACTACTTGCAGTCATGGTCAAGGTGATTACTAATCTTAATAGAATGCTGACCTGGCTCTAGCTAGTGAAAATCACTAGATGAACACGATTTTAAAAGAGTTTTCTCTCAAACATAGTATGAATATCGATACTGATGAGGTTGATGCGTGCTACGTGATATATAGTGATGAGTAAAAATGAAATACCTAACTTATATTTCCTACGCTTATTTTACATATTTTATTTAATTTTTATTTACTCACTTACATACAGAGCACAGACATAGTCTTGATATAAGCTCAAAAGTCCAAATTTGGGGGTTTACCAAAGGGCAATAAAACTCAATATATTGGAAATCAAAGTAGTCGATGAGGTCTGAAACACCATAGTGCGCTTTTGTATAAAAATTGCCGAGGCAACAACAAAAAGCGGCAATTCTAAAGTGGGACTGGGCAGGACATGTAAGTCGCATTCCAAGCGACTGGTGGTTCAAAACCTGTACATTTTGGCTCCCTGAATAATAAAAAAAAAAATAGTCGATCTCGACCGGTTCCACGAAGACTGGTACGGCGTGACCAGCGATAGTGCCAGATGGAAGCACTTGAGGGAGGGCTTCACCTAGCAGTAGGACACCATAGGCTATAATTGAATGATGGAATAATTGGTTGTTTTATTTTTTATGAAATTAAATATGAAGTAAATAATAAGAAAATGTTAAAGATGTTGGATTTATTTGTAAATATTATAAAAAAAAATTATCTAATTTTAAATCGTATGGATATGCCCTATTAAAATAGTAAAACTGGGGTCACATTTTTTGCATTTTATTTATTTGATATTGTATTTCAGAATTTAAGTTCTATCAAATTGGCCCCGCCTGGTTGGAATCATGGATCTGCAACAAAAACTAGTATTCATACTAGTAGTAATCCAATGATTAATCTCACGAAGAACATGTATAGTGTTTTAGAAAACAACCAAGCCGACCCAGTCAGCCTCAAAGGTACGTAAATTTTTTTATACTATCAAAATTCATAAACTAGTTGTTAGCTTATCGGATAAAAAGTGGTTACACTATGATCGTCAAAGGATATTCTGTACTTTGTTTTTGTTTCTGGTAATCTGTGAATTTTTATCCAATGCCTAATGAGTTTCCACTCGTAATGATTTTATTATAACTTTTAATACTTATTGTAATTCAAATAATTTGCATTAAGAAGGCAAGATCATTTCTACATTGTTAAACTGCATAGCAAACAACTATTTTAAGAATCGCTTTCCAAATATGTAAATACATGAGTAACTGGCGTGAATTTACTGGGTACAGAGGAATAACACCTGAGTCCTCAGGAATGGCAACGCATGGGGGGTATCATGGGCGAAACAGTATACTCTGTTATGTCCATGGTACTGCTCATGTCTATAGGCGACGGTTACCACTTTCCATCAGGTGGGCCGTCAGCTTGTTTGCCATTCTAAGTTTTATAAAAAAAAAAAAAAAAAAAAAAAAAAAAAAACTGGATGTTTATTAAAATGGAAAGTGTATTTTTGTTCTAACTAGTAATTGTATGTTTTCACTTCAGGAAGTAAAGATACACCCCCAAGCTATCATACAAAAGGTGCATCTATTGAGAGGTCTACATTTAATTCTAGAGGTGATTTCAGTAAGTAATACCTTTTTATTATTATATTCTTATGTACTTCAACATTAACTATAGTCATTCGCGTGCGATATTCTTTTGGGAGTAACATCATTCATCATATATACTAGGTCCAATTTTGTTAAACATAAATCATTACATTTATTATTGACCACAGAATAATTAATGTCTTTGTATATATTGCCTAACTGTTTTAGAACAATTAACCCTGCGATATTCTCAAAGTATTATTTTTATATTTATTAACTAATTCTTTCCGTTACGCAATCTTCATAATTTATTGATCAAAGTAATTAGTTATATAATTATAGGTACATTATTTAAAAGTAATTTTTTAGGATTCCGCACCAAGACTGTACAAAGGAACCCTTATGATACGACCTGATCGGTCCGTTTGTTACAGCGTTATATCTCTGCAACTATTTCTGTTATAAATTTTAAATTTAGAATAGATTTACATATCATTGACACGCATATATTGCAATGTAAATACTTGATAACATATTTTTATTTTCTCTATTATTGGCTCTAAAACGGATTCTAAATTTTAACCTTGACGTAATTTTTATTTACAAAAATATGAGAATAAGACCATAGGACGTCCCCCTCCCCCACCTCCTCTCTAAAATTTCTTAAGCTTAAAAATCTGAAATTATTACGGTTTATAAAAATATATGTGAATATTACAAAAAAATAAAACGATGCTTCTAACTAATACTTCATTATGCAATCCAGTATTTTACAGAGAATGTAGGTACTCTAATACGTTGTAACAGTCAATAGGGAAATTATTGCAACAATGCAATAAACAAATTCAATTTTAATCTACAAAATAATTAGATTACAAAATCAATAAATTAGACATTTTAACAAAATGAAATACCAAATTTAAGTCGTAAAAATAAAAAAAATGATATAATTAAAATGTCAATTTATATTTATCATATATTATTACAAAAATTGTTATGATGAACATGACTGAATAACGATTTATCAATTTATTTTAATTCAGAAATCTGTCAGTATTTTTCGTCGACCAATTTTAACCACAATTATGTATCCAAATAAGAAATTACGAATTATAGTATCACTAATAATAAATATTATACTTCTATTTCAAATAGAAAATGCATTAAAGTCATTTTATGTCATATATATCATATTTATGTGGGGAACCCTCGGCGAGTGAGTACATCTTGCTTCTGACTGGTTTTTTTTTTACTACTATTACTATAAAAGGAAAGTGATGCGGTAGATTTCATGAGGATTAAATATCTATTTTCCCCTCTGTCTTTATAATCTATTTTAAATGTGACTCAACTGCAATTGTTTGATAAAAGCGCGTATAGCACTCTGTACAAATACATTTTTATGGCAGTATAAATTTGTGTACTAGGGTGCGTTATAAATCATACTGTTTTTAAGGTGCTTAGAATATTGTATTATTTCGTATAATCTTTATTGTACATAATTATGGCACGGTAAAATTTAAGTCCAGCATTGCAGCTCTCAGGAATCATTACATAAAAATTAAGATATAATAAATGTAGTCATTATATATAGTCATTTATAAATAGAGATTGTGTGTTAATAGATACAAATGAAACTGTCACACTGTTATTGTCGTAACGCATATTGTTGATATTTATTCACTAATCACATTATTGTGTTTCAAAGTTCATTTCTTAAATAATTATTCATAATCATGTTTGAATGTTGAATTTTAGATAGTGGCAGCGGTAGCCGTTCAGGTTCAATGGGTGGAATTCGTTCCAATTCCGGAAGTCGTAGTGTAAGCGCTGTCCTGCCTACGCCATCTGTTGTAACCGAGATTTCAGCACCTGTTTCAGCGGCTGTTCCACAGGAACCACTGTCAGAAAATAAGAAGAAGACAGTTCATGCAATGATTGATCTGTCCTTAATGAACCCTGATGATAATGAATTAGTAGTTGAAGTTCAAAGGTTTGAAACTCAGTACCATGCTGCAGTTGTTACTGAAATACTCAATATGGCGCTGGAGAAGTAAGTAGTTAATTAATCTTATTGATCTTGGACTTAAACAAATTATAATTCCTTTATATCTAAACAATCATCATAAAGTTTTTTTTTTATCAATATAATAATTGAATAAGCATAAAATATTCTCCTTTTCAATAAGAGGCTGTTCTCAATTCGACGGTATTTTTATTTTATGTAATGTTTGTATTTTTTGACGATATCTACGCTTATTTTAAACCAGTTTTGATAATTACTTTTTTAATCGAACTAGAAACTTAAATAGCCTTGAGTTTTGGATAGAAAAGTAATAAAAAATTAAAATACTATATACTATTACAAAAGACTTCAACCCTATACTAAACCACTTGGATAAGTCTTTTTCAGTAGAACTTAAAAGGTAACCAAGTATTGTTGAAATTGCCACTCAAAAACATTCTCGGGTCAAATTTGTAAAGCACTCAATAAATTAATCAATTTTGACATCAATTGACTTATGTCTTATCTTAGGCTCAACTATTAGTTTGTTTACATTATGTTCTATTGAAACAGATATAGTAAGTTAATATGTTCTATGCTCAATTGTGTGGCGATAATGGTCTCAATAAAAGTGTTTCAAGCAATAAATTTCATAATTTTTTTAATTGTTCTAAACTTTGCATTTGTTTGAAATATTTGTATGTAAAAAGAATCAATACTGACTTATTTGGAATACTTAACTAAATTAAATTTCGAATACTTAACCAATGAGGAGATATTTCAGATCAAAGTGGTCAGTACGATAAAACGCTAATTTCATATATAAGGACCTAATATTGTATAATAATGTAAGGAACAAGATAAAGCAATAGTAAAATCTTTTATAGAGATTTCTGTGTAAAATTCATTAATTTATGGATATATAATAAAAGTATTATGTTTCAGAACACCGAAAGAAACTGCCATGATTTCAAAATCACTGTTACATTTAATAAATACAAATACGATATCACCACGAAATTTCGAAGTGGGTCTGACGGAAACTTTATTGTATGCACCTGATTTATATATTGACATACCAATGTTGTACGAATATTTAGGAAAGTTCATTGCTCCACAAATTGAAAAAAAAGTAAGTAAGAAGTATCAATTATTGCTGTATCTCACGACTTTGCTCCTGTCAATTAATATAAAAAGTATAAAATGTGTTCAGTATTACAATCCATTTTGAGATTTAACTATAATTAAGTAACCCTCTTACATAAATTCCTACAGATGTTTTTTTTTTTTTTTTTTATATCTTTTTCATTACATTTTTTTTTTATTGTATACTTCATTAGTGTTGAAGTATGGAACAAAGTAGATATATAAACATGTAAAATATAACTAAACATATTTTTACACAATATTAAAAATAATATACTTTTACAGCACATCACAATTTTACAAATATTTAAACTATCAGAAAGTATCATTGCATCAAAACAAGGTCATTTATTATTAAAAGCAATAATCAGAGATTTAAAAGAAAGCATGGGACCTACTTTTGCAAAAAGTAAATGGCAAGAATCTGGTCTTCAATTAAGACAATGGATGCATGAGGATCAGGTAAGGCATACATATTTTTTATAGTACATTAATTGTTTTCTATCTAACTGCATTAGGTTGGCTGAAAAAGGTCTCTTTCAGAGGTAAGGTAAGCCCATGCTTGCTAACAAATTCAATCATTGTGTATCTTTTTTACTATATTTTAACAAGGAATTTTACCATTTTTAGATTTCAACCTGGCTAACGGTGAACAATTTTGAATTCTTGGAGGGTGCTACTAAATATTCCGAAGAATCAAAGAAAATATTTACTCCAAATGAGATACAGAAGAAATTAATACAACTAATGAATTCTGATGAGAATTGTGACTGTATAAAGGGTTGGGCAAGAGTAAGTACAGCTTTATTGTTAAAAACAAAAATTAATATGTATATTATAGTTATTCTTTTACAGGTCATCTTTACATCTTTATTGTCTAGGTACAAATTCAATTTTTATTTGACGTTTGGAATACGATTATTTTGTATATATGGATTATTTTTATTATATATTGAGCATTATACCTTCTTAAAAATTAAATACATGAAGGGTGATATGGGATTCAGTGTATAATTGTACTACTCGTATGCAGCCAACAACTGACTTGCCATGTTTATTTCGTATACATGTAAACGATAAATTATATTATTACCTACTCTCCATTAATACGTCCATCTACTTCCGTTTAATCACATCATTATTTAGTTTTAAATATTGTGCATAATTGTTATTAGGATAACTTGGGCAAGTCGTCAAATGAAGATTGGTTTATGAGGATCCTAATTCAATCCATATGTGAACATGCGCTATTTGGGCCTGAAGGTCGCGATACACCTCATTTTAATCAAGAACGTATGAATAAATATGCAGGACTTATTAACGAGTTTGGCGATTCGAAGGATGCGAGAGAAGCCAGCTGTCTGTTTGGCATACAACAGCTAATACATAGGCTAGAGCACCCGCAAGGTATAGAATAATAATAATTATGTTTAATATACATTTTCAAATATTCTTGAATGACAGTAAAATTAACGAAATTGATTAATATTTCTGTCTTACAGGTTTAACATTGCAAATTTTCCAATATTTGCACGAACAATATATTATTACTGTAGAAGGATTTATAGCATGGGAGGAATCAGAAATGGAGCCAGAAGGAAAAGGTAAATAAGAATTCCTTGTTTTTTCTTACATTGACTTAGTTATAGAATTGTTCTTGACGCAGATTACATAATATTCTGCTATAAACTTCATAATGACAATATAAAATTACAAGGACGGTCATAGGTTGTAAAAATTATGAAATTTATTTATTTTTTGTCACTTTTCAACCTCCGCTTATTAGAGATATTAAATAATCAACCTGTATACATATTTGTAGGAGTTATGATGAAGGCGCTCACGTCGTTCTTCACGAACATTAAAGAAGCCGACGAAGGCGATTCCTGCAGCGAGGACTGACGCGGGCAGCTCGCCTCGGCCGCGGAACCACGTCAACTGCCGCCGCCGCCGACTGCGTCAACTATGACTCCGGCGCCTACAACTGATTCATTCGCTTATAATATCTTCCTTATTTTTATATATTAGGAACATCCTACACGGAAATCATAGAATATATTGTAATAATTATTATTATAATGCTTTATTCTAACAAGAATTAGAAAGTTGTATAATATTTTTTAAAACTATGATTATTCATCAAAATTTCGAGCTAAATGCTAAATGCTTATTAATTTTTTTTTTATTTTATTTTTATTATTACTGATATTGGCTTGAGTTTGTTAGTTTTTTGATAAAACTGAAAATTTTTAACGTGTTGTCTGGGCATACCATTCGCATTTTATTTTTCAAAAATTGTTATGCCAAAAATTTCAGTTTTTATTTAAATTATTTCTGCTTATTTTGTTATATTGGATAATTTAGTATGTATAATTTTAATAATTAATTGATCGAAATATTTGTTGACATTGCTAACTTATATAATTATTTGAAATACTTTTGGTCATTTTTATCATTCATAACATACATAGTTTTGTTTTCCAGACATTTATATAGAAAATAATAATTATAGACTTGTACACTATATAAAAATAATTATGTACCCAATTGAATGATTAACATTTTAATTTTTAAGTTTAATATCCATATAGCCTTGAATGTTCTTTATTTATTAATATTTTTATATTAATTAATTGTTCGGATATTTTTGTGACATTTTCGACTATCAAGATATGAGATCAAGATATAATAAAATTATATTTTCTTTTTCTATTTTTAAATATAGAATTGAATTGTATCTGTGACTTATTTTATTATGTATATTTTAATATTATAATTTTAAATATTTATTGTTTGGTGTATCATTTTTTCACTAGAAAAAGTATGTTTCATTGTTATTTATTTAAAAAAAAAAATATTTCTAGTGAAAAATTTGCTGGCCAAAAGTATTTCGATCAATGAGATGACATCACACAATTTTAGTACAAGACATTCTTGTTCTTTTAGTTTTAGTAAATTCTAATCACAATATATCACAATTATGTAGGTTTACAGAAATAAATATGTATTATATTTTGTTGTATTAACCATTTTACTGCTAATAATTACTCTAAGACATAGTTCAAATGACAAAAATAATATTTTATTAAACAATTCTCTGATGTCAGATGCATAATATTCCCCTCCTTTATTGCAAAAAAACATCATTTTATGCAATTTGTCTTAACGCAAGTTGACTGTAAAATTAATAGCTTAGATTATATAGATAAAGTAATTCCATACAAATGCATCACAAAACAGGGAGTGTGGATAGGGTTACCATAATAAACATTCAATACTCATAAAATTGATAAAAACTATTATTTATTATTATTACTTTTTATAAAAAACAACTTACAATTTTTTTTTTTTTGATGGGTGAAAATGGTATGGTAACCCCGCCTACGCTAACGGTATACGCTTGCGGAGCACCAGTAAAGGGTGATACATGAGAATGAAAACAGGCCAGTTAGCCCATCATGATGAATTCGTCAGAAATTAACCATGACAGTTTCCAGGGAGAACCGCGAGGAGGTCGACCTGGTTGGGTATATTGCTAGCAATGGGATTCTCAGTCTCCATTACTAACAATTCCTTTCCCCTCCTTACAAATATGTTAGAAAGAACAAACTGAGATGAGTAGTAGAAACAAGAGACGGTAAAGATAAGTATGAATCATTATAATTCATACTTTAGTGATTAATTTATATCCAAGTATTGGCCATCCGTGTAGTCTCGACAATGAATAGACCACCTCTTCCTTTTTCGAGGGTGTCGTAAAAGGCTACTAAGGGAGGCCGACGGATGGGCAGCAGAGTCCCTCTTAAAATATCTCTCAAGCTTAACTGCAGTTGCCAATACGCCTGCCAAGCGTGGCAACTACTGGCAGAACCCCCCAAAGGGGAGACTAGTTCATCAGTGGGCCATTAAAGGCTGATATAATGATAATACTAAACTTCATAGCGATTGGTTAATTCGCGGGTATAAAAGCTAGTGGACTCTATATGTTTTAGTTTTAAAATAATTGAAAAGGGCCGTCAATTTAATTCATACATGTAGGTATATTAATTTGTAACCAATACGAACATGAATATATAAATGTTCATATTCAAAAGAAATAGGTCTGTCATCTAATTTAAAAAATAAAGTTAATTTGGGAAATATTAAACCTAATAATTTGCATTACGGAATAAATAGCAGTTTTTTTTTTTTTTTTTTTTTAATGTAAAGAGGTGTGTCAAATTGAGTCTAATGTTGACACGTTTTTTTTTTACTCTCTATTCTCTATCTATATAATCTAAGATTTATGGTTTTAATTTAATAGTTTTTGATGAACTCTAATATGGGTGGCTTGATAAGTTTATAATGTATAAATTATTACAAATTGACTATTATTGATTTTTAAAAAAGTTTACGCTTGAAATATACAAATTTTGAAATAACACAAAACTAACACTGAACACGTTCATATTTCAGAATATCAGTCTCAAACGTATATGTCTCTTCACATACAGTTTTTAAAGAGTTAATTTGAAAAAAAAAAAATTATTAAATTCCGTTGGAAAAACAAGGAAATAATAGTAACGTAGGTTTTATTATTTTACTAATACAGTAAAATTAATATTTAGGAAAAGAATATGTAGATTTCAATAAATAACCAGTAAAAAAAACAATATTTTTTACAATTTTTGTCTGTCTTTATGCATGTATGTTTGTTACGACATCACGCAAAAATTACTGCATTAAAATTAATACGGTTTTGAGTAAAAATTTCAATATTTCTGACTGATTATTTAAAAAGTGATCCGCCTACGATCAAAAACTTTAATTAGTAACTTATTAAGCTGTCACTGAAAATTAAATTTTGGTGACAAAAATATATTTGAAGAATTCAATCCAGAGATACACAAAGTTTGTAGTGGTGGACATATATACAACAACGTATTCTATGATTAATGTTTTAGTTAGTAGGCAAAGCGCTTTTTTTTTTTCAATAGTCAATCAGAAAAATTGATTTTTTTAATTGTTTTTGAAAACTGACACATAATTACGACATTCCCATACTTCGTTATAAGCGCTTTTCATTTCTAATCAGATTGTTTCGATATTAAAATCAGTTCAAATCATAGACGTAGTATTAACAACACACTACGCACTGACCTTAGATTATAGTCTATAACTTGGTAATGTCAAAGAGAGAAAATGTAGAAAGATATGTGATATAGCAAGATAGACAAGACATACAATATAAGCTAGATGCTTATTTGACAGGAGTATGAATTAGGCAAATCCTGAGTATTTTTATTTTTAGTTTTATGCTTAGTGTTTTTTTTTTTTTTTTTTTTTTTGCATTTTCTTGCCTTTTGTTTTTTTTTTTTTTTTTATATACAACTTAGAATGGCAAACAAGCTGACGGCCCACCTGATGGAAAGTGGTAACCGTTGCCTATAGACATGAGCAGTACCATGGACATAACAGAGTATACTGTTTCGCACATGATACCCCCCATGCGTTGCTATTCCTGAGGACTCAGGTGTTATTCCTCTGTACCCAGTAAATTCACGCCATATCCCACCCTTCAAACCGAAACACAGCCATGCAAACACAACTGCTTTACGTTTGAAACACGAATGGGACAGAGGTACCCAAGCAATCGACTTTTGTACAAAGTCTCCCTCTGGTAAACCTCTCCCTTGTCTTGCAATAGGATTGCTAATCTGGCAGTATTCTATCATATATGCTATTATATTTTCTCTCTTTTATACTACCAATCTATACACTTTATAATCCAGCTAAACTTAGGCTCAGAGCCTACCTAACTTTATATTAATCCATATCTTCCCAAACATCCTAAAACTTGTTGGATTTGAGTCAAACTCAAGTCTGTTTCTATTTATAAAACCGAAAATATAACAGAAAAGATTTTTAATCTTTTGATGTGTATGAGATGAAAATGCGCCTTTACAGATATTTTTTTACATAGGTGCTATAAATAGGTATTTAGTTAATAACATTTTAAGTATAATATATTTCCTAATCAACTGATTATCAATTGATAATACTCAAATGAAAGCCAAGAACTAGTCAGGATCGTCTACCGTTTTTCTTTCTTTTACTTTCTTTTCATTACTGAAATAAAATTTCAGATTGTATCGTAGTATAAAATTCAACATCTGTATATTGCCAATGTGCGTGTGTAGTTAGGGAAACATTGTTTGATGTAGTGTATAATTTGGATTGAGTTGTAAAGTTATCTTCTTCATACCTCGTAAATATTTATCCTTCTCTGATGTCGATGGCTACTGAAGAGTAGACTTGAGAAACATCCATTAGAGTATGGTAGCTGACGCGTCTTCGAGAGGAGGCGAGGTTAGATCACAGTGGACGGCAGGGAATGTCCATATTGTAGTTTAGTACTACATATGTACTGATATTATATCCAAGAAGAATAGACACATTCTTATATATATGAGGCCTTATGTCGCAGGTGTCAACTTGACACAAACCTTCAATCTAGGAACTAAGAACATGGAATTACATAGGAGTGATAAAATTGTCAATTTATAGCAGGCTAATATATAGAAAACTTTGTATGGCCGTATAACCCTACCAAATTCAGATGCAACCAGCTTGCATACTTTCAACATAAACTGTGTCGAATATATAATCTAGTAATGTAAAATTTGTCATTGATAAATAATTGACATATCAAATATTTTCTATACACTAGCCTGCTATGAACTGACAAAAATAGCAACTGATGGTGTATCTTTCGTCCTCTTTTTACTAATTATATTTACATAGGAAAAAGGAGGCAACCATAAAATTTAGTTTTTATTTTATCATTCCTTTATGCAATTCCTTGTTCTTAGTCTAGAAACTAGAGCACTGGCAGTAGGACTCGATATTACTATACATTGTGGTTTAGGTACCATCGTCTGAGCAATTGTAATGACTAAAATAGGTGAATGGTATACATTTTTAAACTCTGACACAGATTTTTCACTTTACTGTTGAATTAACATGAGGCATGAAATGTTTTTATTATATACTAGACACAAGTTTATAATAATAGTAATGCTTTTTTTTTGTTTGAAAGAAAAATACGAAAATGTTGCTTCCATTCAACTAGTTAACAATAGATTCTCAAAATAACAATAATTGATGCAATGCTACCTGTAATTACAGTTTGTGAGCATATTAATTTATGTTTTTACCGGGAAACACTTTCTGAATTATACACTTATTTTCTTTTTTCTACGCGAAATGTTCTATTTACCAACATAAAAATAATTATGTTGGGATTTAACAGTTGTTAAACCCAATCCCAACGTCAACCTAAAACTTCTCTATAGCCCTCATACCCGTTTCTAACATTCCCGTTTCTATTACCCACATATTACTATCTATTCATTTCATACTACATTTTTGTTTACATCTCTTCCATTTTTATTTACCTCTACTCAATCTAGAAAGAACGAAACAATTTGCAAATTTCAGTAATCTAAAATATTTCACAAATGTACTTTTTTTTGCGTTGCGCATATTTCAGGAAAAGTTCTTAATAATAATTATCTCTCTTGCTTAAATAATACATTGGCTATTGAATATGGCTGAAGTTTAAATTTTGTCGAAATAACTTGTGGCTCAAGTGTATTTTTACAATACTTTACGACATACTGTAAAAAATCAGTGTCCTCCATTTAGTAGCTGTCATCAGAATGAACGCTTAATCACAAAAGAATGTGTTTAAAATATATGTTGTATTATGTAATTATGTTGATTTTAAATCCTTTTACTATAACAAAATATCGTTATTTTGTATCAATGGGGTAAACAGAAACCATTCATCTACCCACTTCCGTACGACCATTGCTTCTCTTTTACTTTCATCAATTTAAAAATTATATATTATGAGACATACGTTTTGTGACTTTATTTTTCTGAGACTTTCACCTTTTGAGATTTTAATATTCCAGAATATTTAAACGTTTTCAGTCTCAAGGTGTTACTTTGAGATTTGAATGTTTCTTGCGTAAACCA